GGCTCGTCTTTCATCTCACAACATGAAGGGATGTCTGAATCCCCTGTGGAGACCTTAGAGAAAGCCGTAGGTCCCTGCCTCATTTTGACGGAATGCCTCACGTCCCGCTGACACCTCGAGAGGCACGCGGAGTTCATTGCTTCAAAAGGTGACGATGCCTGACTCCTCTTGAATACTGATAGGAATCCCAAAATCCCTGTGGCTACGGGAAAGGGTCCTTGGGTGCCCTGCCTCACCTCGAGAAGCGTCCCTTTTGCCCTGCCAAGCCTCGAAGAGATTCCTGAGGTGTCCCTCGTTACTAGACACGAGTCCTGACGTCACTGAAGAAACTCGTGTTTTGAAGGGCCATCCCCGCCGTAAGTCGAGAACATACCCCAAGTCCACACCGCAACTCGAGAAAAACCATGAGACTTCCCCCTAGAGGCGAGATGAGGCCCCTTCCCCTGCAGTGAATGCAGAGCTATTCCGTGATCCCATTCAAACAAATCAGGAGCTTCGACTTGCTTAATGGATCTCGAGACAGTCCCCAAGAACACTGTCACCAGTCTAGATGGACCCTGAGGTCACCCCAGCAACGCAAAGCAGCTCCATGTGCCCCAAATCAACTCGAGATGAGGCCCGATTCCCCTGCATTGACTCCAGAGCCATTCCCCGTTCCCCATTCAACACGACCGGTGGCTCGACTTCCTTCAGGCAACTCCAGAGATGCCCCGAGAACACTGTCCCAAGTCTAGAGGAACACCAACTTCAGCACAGCAACTCGAGGAATGCTCCGTGTAACCCAAATCATCTCGAGATGAGAGCTGATTCCCTGGCTTAGGCTCAAGACGTATGCCAACTTTCCAGAAGCACCTCAGGAGGAGGCTTCTCTCACCAATAGTTATGTGGGAGGGACCCCGAGTTTGCTGCCTCAAGGGGAATTTACAGCGAGAAGCCCTAACTTGAAAGGAGGCCGGATTTCCTTGCAGTGGCTTGAATACAGGCTAGTCTTTCATCTCACAACATGAAGGGATGTCTGAATCCCCTGTGGAGACCTTAGAGAAAGCCCTAGGTCCCTGCCTCATTTTGACGGAATGCCTCTCATCTCGCTGACACCTCGAGAGGCACGCGGAGTTCATTGCTTCAAAAGGTGACGATGCCTGACTCCTCTTGAATACTGATAGGAATCCCGAAATCCCTGTGGCTGCGGGAAAGGGTCCTTGGGTGCCCTGCCTCACCTCGAGAAGCGTCCCTTTTGCCCTGCCAAGCCTCGAAGAGATTCCTGAGGTGTCCCTCGTTGCTAGACAGGAGTCCTGACGTCACTGAAGAAACTCGTGTTTTGAAGGGCCATCCCTGCCGTAAGTCGAGAACATACCCCAGGTCCCCGCCGCAACTCGAGAAAAACCATGAGATTTCCCCCTAGAGGTGAGATGAGGCCCCATTCCCCTTCAGTGCATGCAGAGCTATTCCGTGATCCCATTCAAACAAGTCAGGAGCTTCGACTTGCTTAATGGATCTCGAGACAGTCCCCAAGAACACTGTCACCAGTCTAGACGGACCCTGAGGTCACCCCAGCAACGCAAAGCAGCTCCATGTGCCCCAAATCAACTCGAGATGAGGCCCGATTCCCCTTCATTGACTCCAGAGACATTCCCCGTTCCCCATTCAACACGACCGGTGGCTCGACTTCCTTCAGGCAACTCCAGAGATGCCCCGAGAACACTGTCCCAAGTCTAGAGGAACACCAACTTCAGCACAGCAACTCGAGGAATGCTCCGTGTAACCCAAATCGTCTCGAGATGAGAGCTGATTCCCTGGCTTAGGCTCAAGACGTATGCCAACTTTCCAGAAGCACCTCAGGAGGAGGCTTCTCTCAGCAATAGTTATGTGGGAGGGACCCCGAGTTTGCTGCCTCAAGGGGAATATACAGCGAGAAGCCCTAACTTGAAAGGAGGCCGGATTTCCTTGCAGTGGCTTGAATACAGGCTCGTCTTTCATCTCACAACATGAAGGGATGTCTGAATCCCCTGTGGAGACCTTAGAGAAAGCCTTAGGTCCCTGCCTCATTTTGACGGAATGCCTCTCATCTCGCTGACACCTCGAGAGGCACGCGGAGTTCATTGCTTCAAAAGGTGACGATGCCTGACTCCTCTTGAATACTGATAGGAATCCCAAAATCCCTGTGGCTACGGGAAAGGGTCCTTGGGTGCCCTGCCTCACGTCGAGAAGCGTCCCTTTTGCCCTGCCAAGCCTCGAAGAGATTCCTGAGGTGTCCCTCGTTACTAGACAGGAGTCCTGACATCACTGAAGAAACTCGTGTTTTGAAGGTCCATCCCCGCCGTAAGTCGAGAACATACCCCAGGTCCCCGCCGCAACTCGAGAAAAACCATGAGACTTCCCCCTAGAGGCGAGATGAGGCCCCATTCCCCTGCAGTGAATGCAGAGCTATTCCGTGATCCCATTCCAACAAGTCAGGAGCTTCGACTTGCTTAATGGATCTCGAGACAGTCCCCAAGAACACTGTCACCAGTCTAGACGGACCCTGAGGTCACCCCAGCAAAGCAAAGCTGCTCCATGTGCCCCAAATCAACTCGAGATGAGGCCCGATTCCCCTGCATTGACGCCAGAGCCATTCCCCGTTCCCCATTCAACACGACCGGTGGCTCGACTTCCTTCAGGCAACTCCAGAGATGCCCCGAGAACACTGTCCCAAGTCTAGAGGAACACCAACTTCAGCACAGCAACTTGAGGAATGCTTCGTGTACCCCAAATCGTCTCGAGATGAGAGCTGATTCCCTGGCTTAGGCTCAAGACGTATGCCAACTTTCCAGAAGCACCTCAGGAGGAGGCTTCTCTCAGCAATAGTTATGTGGGAGGGACCCCGAGTTTGCTGCCTCAAGGGGAATATACAGCGAAAAGCCCTAACTTGAAAGGAGGCCGGATTTCCTTGCAGTGGCTTGAATACAGGCTCGTCTTTCATCTCACAACATGAAGGGATGTCTGAATCCCCTGTGGAGACCTTAGAGAAAGCCGTAGGTCCCTGTCTCATTTTGACGGAATGCCTCACGTCCCGCTGACACCTCGAGAGGCACGCGGAGTTCATTGCTTCAAAAGGTGACGATGCCTGACTCCTCTTGAATACTGATAGGAATCCCAAAATCCCTGTGGCTACGGGAAAGGGTCCTTGGGTGCCCTGCCTCACCTCGAGAAGCGTCCCTTTTGCCCTGCCAAGCCTCGAAGAGATTCCTGAGGTGTCCCTCGTTACTAGACACGAGTCCTGACGTCACTGAAGAAACTCGTGTTTTGAAGGGCCATCCCCGCAGTAAGTCGAGAACATACCCCAAGTCCACACCGCAACTCGAGAAAAACCATGAGACTTCCCCCTAGAGGCGAGATGAGGCCCCTTCCCCTGCAGTGAATGCAGAGCTATTCCGTGATCCCATTCAAACAAATCAGGAGCTTCGACTTGCTTAATGGATCTCGAGACAGTCCCCAAGAACACTGTCACCAGTCTAGACGGACCCTGAGGTCACCCCAGCAACGCAAAGCAGCTCCATGTGCCCCAAATCAACTCGAGATGAGGCCCGATTCCCCTGCATTGACTCCAGAGCCATTCCCCGTTCCCCATTCAACACGACCGGTGGCTCGACTTCCTTCAGGCAACTCCAGAGATGCCCCGAGAACACTGTCCCAAGTCTAGAGGAACACCAACTTCAGCACAGCAACTCGAGGAATGCTCCGTGTAACCCAAATCATCTCGAGATGAGAGCTGATTCCCTGGCTTAGGCTCAAGACGTATGCCAACTTTCCAGAAGCACCTCAGGAGGAGGCTTCTCTCACCAATAGTTATGTGGGAGGGACCCCGAGTTTGCTGCCTCAAGGGGAATTTACAGCGAGAAGCCCTAAATTGAAAGGAGGCCGGATTTCCTTGCAGTGGCTTGAATACAGGCTAGTCTTTCATCTCACAACATGAAGGGATGTCTGAATCCCCTGTGGAGACCTTAGAGAAAGCCCTAGGTCCCTGCCTCATTTTGACGGAATGCCTCTCATCTCGCTGACACCTCGAGAGGCACGCGTAGTTCATTGCTTCAAAAGGTGACGATGCCTGACTCCTCTTGAATACTGATAGGAATCCCGAAATCCCTGTGGCTGCGGGAAAGGGTCCTTGGGTGCCCTGCCTCACCTCGAGAAGCGTCCCTTTTGCCCTGCCAAGCCTCGAAGAGATTCCTGAGGTGTCCCTCGTTGCTAGACAGGAGTCCTGACGTCACTGAAGAAACTCGTGTTTTGAAGGGCCATCCCCGCCGTAAGTCGAGAACATGCCCCAGGTCCCCGCCGCAACTCGAGAAAAACCATGAGATTTCCCCCTAGAGGTGAGATGAGGCCCCATTCCCCTTCAGTGCATGCAGAGCTATTCCGTGATCCCATTCAAACAAGTCAGGAGCTTCGACTTGCTTAATGGATCTCGAGACAGTCCATAAGAACACTGTCACCAGTCTAGACGGACCCTGAGGTCACCCCAGCAACGCAAAGCAGCTCCATGTGCCCCAAATCAACTCGAGATGAGGCCCGATTCCCCTTCATTGACTCCAGAGACATTCCCCGTTCCCCATTCAACACGACCGGTGGCTCGACTTCCTTCAGGCAACTCCAGAGATGCCCCGAGAACACTGTCCCAAGTCTAGAGGAACAACAACTTCAGCACAGCAACTCGAGGAATGCTCCGTGTAACCCAAATCGTCTCGAGATGAGAGCTGATTCCCTGGCTTAGGCTCAAGACGTATGCCAACTTTCCAGAAGCACCTCAGGAGGAGGCTTCTCTCAGCAATAGTTATGTGGGAGGGACCCCGAGTTTGCTGCCTCAAGGGGAATATACAGCGAGAAGCCATAACTTGAAAGGAGGCCGGATTTCCTTGCAGTGGCTTGAATATAGGCTCGTCTTTCATCTCACAACATGAAGGGATGTCTGAATCCCCTGTGGATACCTTAGAGAAAGCCTTAGGTCCCTGCCTCATTTTGACGGAATGCCTCACGTCCCGCTGACACCTCGAGAGGCACGCGGAGTTCATTGCTTCAAAAGGTGACGATGCCTGACTCCTCTTGAATACTGATAGGAATTCCAAAATCCCTGTGGCTACGGGAAAGGGTCCTTGGGTGCCCTGCCTCACGTCGAGAAGCGTCCCTTTTGCCCTGCCAAGCCTCGAAGAGATTCCTGAGGTGTCCCTCGTTACTAGACAGGAGTCCTGACGTCACTGAAGAAACTCGTGTTTTGAAGGTCCATCCCCGCCGTAAGTCGAGAACATACCCCAGGTCCCCGCCGCAACTCGAGAAAAACCATGAGACTTCCCCCTAGAGGCGAGATGAGGCCCCATTCCCCTGCAGTGAATGCAGAGCTATTCCGTGATCCCATTCCAACAAGTCAGGAGCTTCGACTTGCTTAATGGATCTCGAGACAGTCCCCAAGAACACTGTCACCAGTCTAGACGGACCCTGAGGTCACCCCAGCAAAGCAAAGCAGCTCCATGTGCCCCAAATCAACTCGAGATGAGGCCCGATTCCCCTGCATTGACGCCAGAGCCATTCCCCGTTCCCCATTCAACACGACCGGTGGCTCCACTTCCTTCAGGCAACTCCAGAGATGCCCCGACAACAGTGTCCCAAGTCTAGAGGAACACCAACCTCAGCACAGCACTTGAGGAATGCTCCGTGTACCCCAAATCGTCTAGAGATGAGAGCTGATTCCCTGGCTTAGGCTCAAGACGTATGCCAACTTTCCAGAAGCACCTCAGGAGGAGGCTTCTCCCAGCAATAGGTATGTGGGAGGGACCCCGAGTTTGCTGCCTCAAGGGGAATATACAGCGAGAAGCCATAACTTGAAAGGAGGCCGGATTTCCTTGCAGTGGCTTGAATACAGGCTCGTCTTTCATCTCACAACATGAAGGAATGTCTGAATCCCCTGTGGATACCTTAGAGAAAGCCCTAGGTCCCTGCCTCATTTTGACGGAATGCCTCACATCCCGCTGACACCTCGAGAGGCACGCGGAGTTCATTGCTTCAAAAGGTGACGATGCCTGACTCCTCTTGAATACTGATAGGAATCCCAAAATCCCTGTGGCTACGGGAAAGGGTCCTTGGGTGCCCTGCCTCACCTCGAGAAGCGTCCCTTTTGCACTGCCAAGCCTCGAAGAGATTCCTGAGGTGTCCCTCGTTACTAGACAGGAGTCCTGACGTCACTGAAGAAACTCGTGTTTTGAAGGGCCATCCCCGCCGTAAGTCGAGAACATACCCCAGGTCCCGGCCGCAACTAGAGTAAAACCATGAGACTTCCCCCTAGAGGCGAGATGAGGCCCCATTCCCCTGGAGTGCATGCAGAGCTATTCCGTGATCCCATTCAAACAAGTCAGGAGCTTCGACTTGCTTAATGGATCTCGAGACAGTCCCCAAGAACACTGTCACCAGTCTAGACGGACCCTGAGGTCACCCCAGCAACGCAAAGCAGCTCCATGTGCCCCAAATCAACTCGAGATGAGGCCCGATTCCCCTGCATTGAGTCCAGAGCCATTCATCGTTCCCCATTCAACACGACCGGTGGCTCGACTTCCTTCAGGCAACTCCAGAGATGCCCCGAGAACACGGTCCCAAGTCTAGAGGAACACCAACTTCAGCACAGCAACTCGAGGAATGCTTCGTGTACCCCAAATCGTCTCGAGATGAGAGCTGATTCCCTGGCTTAGGCTCAAGACTTATGCCAACTTTCCAGAAGCACCTCAGGAGGAATCTTCTCTCAGCAATAGGTATGTGGAAGGGACCCCGAGTTTGCTGCCTCCAGGGGAATATACAGCGAGAAGCCCTAACTTGAAAGGAGGCCGCATTTCCTTGCAGTGGCTTGAATACAGGCTCGTCTTTCATCTCACAACATGAAGGGATGTCTGAATCCCCTGTGGAGACCTTAGAGAAAGCCCTAGGTCCCTGCCTCATTTTGACGGAATGCCTCACATCCCGCTGACACCTCGAGAGTCACACGGAGTTCATTGCTTCAAAAGATGACGATGCCTGACTCCTCTTGAATACTGATAGGAATCCCAAAATCGCTGTGGCTACTGGAAAGGGTCCTTGGGTGCCCTGCCTCACCTTGTGAAGCGTCCCTTTTGCCCTGCCAAGCCTCTTAGAGATTCCTGAGCTGTCCCTCATTACTAGACAGGAGTCCTGACGTCACTGAAGAAACTCGTGTTTTGAAGGGCCATCCCCGCCGTAAGTCGAGAACATACCCCAGGTCCCCGCCGCAACTCGAGAAAAAACATGAGACTTCCCCCTTGAGGCGAGATGAGGCCCCATTCCCCTGCAGTGCATGCAGAGCTATTCCGTGATCCCATTCAAACAAGTCAGGAGCTTCGACTTGCTTAATGGATCTCGAGACAGTCCCCAAGAACACTGTCACCAGTCTAGACGGACCCTGAGGTCACCCCAGCAACGCAAAGCAGCTCCATGTGCCCTAAATCAACTCGAGATGCGGCCCGATTCCCCTGCATTGAGTCCAGAGCCATTCCCCGTTCCCCATTCAACACGACCGGTGGCTCGACTTCCTTCAGGCAACTCCAGAGATGCCCCGAGAACATGGTCCCAAGTCTAGAGGAACACCAACTTCAGCACAGCAACTCGAGGAATGCTTCGTGTACCCCAAATCGTCTCGAGATGAGAGCTGATTCCCTGGCTTAGGCTCAAGACTTATGCCAACTTTCCAGAAGCACCTCAGGAGGAGGCTTCTCTCAGCAATAGGTATGTGGAAGGGACCCCGAGTTTGCTGCCTCCAGGGGAATATACAGCGAGAAGCCCTAACTTGAAAGGAGGCCGCATTTCCTTGCAGTGGCTTGAATACAGGCTCGTCTTTCATCTCACAACATGAAGGGATGTCTGAATCCCCTGTGGAGACCTTAGAGAAAGCCCTAGGTCCCTGCCTCATTTTGACGGAATGCCTCACATCCCGCTGACACCTCGAGAGGCACGCGGAGTTCATTGCTTCAAAAGGTGACGATGCCTGACTCCTCTTGAATACTGATAGGAATCTCAAAATCGCTATGGCTACTAGAAAGGGTCCATGGGTACCCTGCCTCACCTCGAGAAGCGTCCCTTTTGCTCTGCCAAGCTTCGTAGAGATTCCTGAGGTGTCCCTCGTTACTAGACAGGAGTCCTGACGTCACTGAAGAAACTCGTGTTTTGAATTGCCATCCCCGCCGTAAGTCGAGAACATACCCCAGGTCCCCGCCTCAACTCGACAAAAACCATGAGACTTCCCCCTAGAGGCGAGATGAGGCCCCATTCCCCTGCAGTGAATGCAGAGCTATTCCGTGATCCCATTCAAACAAGTCAGGAGCTTCGACTTGCTTAATGGAACTCGAGAGAGTCCCCAAGAACACTGTCACCAGTCTAGACGGACCCTGAGGTCACCACAGTAACGCAAAGCAGCTCCATGTGCCCCAAATCAACTCCAGATGAGGCCCGATTCCCCTGCATTGACTCCAGACCCATTAACCGTTCCCCATTCAACACGACCGGTGGCTCGACTTCCTTCAGGCAACTCCAGAGATGCCCCGAGAACACTGTCCCAAGTCTAGAGGAACACCAACTTCAGCACAGCAACTCGAGGAATGCTTCGTATACCCCAAATCGTCTCGAGATGAGAGCTGATTCCCTGGCTTAGGTTCAAGACGTATGCCAACTTTCCAGAAGCACCTCAGGAGGAGGCTTCTTTCAGCAATAGGTATGTGGGAGGGACCCCGAGTTTGCTGCCTCAAGGGGAATATACCGCGAGAAGCCCTAACATGAAAGGAGGCCGGATTTCTTTGCAGTGGCTTAAATACAGGCTCGTCTTTCATCTCACAACATGAAGGGATGTCTGAATCCCCTGTGGAGACCTTAGAGAAAGCCCTAGGTCACTGCCTCATTTTGACGGAATGCCTCACATCCCGCTGACACCTCGAGAGGCACGCAGAGTTCATTGCTTCAAAAGGTGACGATGCCTGACTCCTCTTGAATACTGATAGGAATCCCAAAATCCCTGTGGCTACTGGAAAGGGTCCTTGGGTGCCCTGCCTCACCTCGAGAAGCGTCCCTTTTGCCCTGCCAAGTCTCGAAGAGATTCCTGAGGTGTCCCTCATTACTAGACAGGAGTCCTGACGTCACTGAAGAAACTCGTGTTTTGAAGGGCCATCCCCGCCGTAAGTCGAGAACATACCCCAGGTCCCCGCCTCAACTCGAGAAAAACCATGAGACTTCCCCCTAGAGGCGAGATGAGGCCCCATTCCCCTGCAGTGCATGCAGAGCTATCCCGTGATCCCATTCAAACAAGTCAGGAGCTTCGACTTGCTTAATGGATCTCGAGACAGTCCCCAAGAACACTGTCACCAGTCTAGACGGACCCTGAGGTCACCGCAGCAACGCAAAGCAGCTCCATGTGCCCAAATCAACTCGAGATGAGGCCCGATTCCCTTGCATTGACTCCAGAGCCATTCCCCGTTCCCCATTCAACACGACCGGTGGCTCGACTTCCTTCAGGCAACTCCAGAGATGCCCCGAGAACACTGTCCCAAGTCTAGAGGAACACCAACTTCAGCACAGCAACTCGAGGAATGCTCTGTGTACCCCAAATCGTCTCGAGATGAGAGCTGATTCCCTGGCTTAGGTTCAAGACGTATGCCAACTTTCCAGAAGCACCTCAGGAGGAGGCTTCTTTCAGCAATAGGTATGTGGGTGGGACCCGAGTTTGCTGCCTCAAGGGGAATATACAGCGAGAAGCCCTAACTTGAAAGGAGGCAGGATTTCCTTGCAGTGGCTTGAATACAGGCTCGTCTTTCATCTCACAACATGAAGGGATGTCTGAATCCCCTGTGGAGGCCTTAGAGAAAGCCCTAGGTCCCTGCCTCATTTTGACGGAATGCCTCACATCCCGCTGACACCTCGAGAGGCACGCGGAGTTCATTGCTTCAAAAGGTGACGATGCCTGACTCCTCTTGAATACTGATAGGAATCCCAAAATCCCTGTGGCTACGGGCAAGGGTCCTTGGGTGCCCTGCCTCACCTCGAGAAGCGTCCCTTTTGCCCTGCCAAGCCTCGAAGAGATTCCTGAGTTGTCCTTCGTTACTAGACAGGAGTCCTGAGGTCACTGAAGAAACTCGTGTTTTGAAGGGCCATCCCCGCCGTAAGTCGAGAACATACCCCAGGTCCCCGCCGCAACTAGAGTAAAACCATGAGACTTCCCCCTAGAGGCGAGATGAGGCCCCATTCCCCTGTAGTGCATGCAGAGCTATTCCGTGATCCCATTCAAACAAGTCAGGAGCTTCAACTTGCTTAATGGATCTCGAGACAGTTCCCAAGAACACTGTCACCAGTCTAGACGGACCCTGAGGTCACCCCAGCAACGCAAAGCAGCTCCATGTGCCCCAAATCAACTCGAGATGAGGCCCGATTCCCCTGCATTGACTCCAGAGCCATTCCCCGTTCCCCATTCAACACGACCGGTGGCTCGACTTCCTTCAGGCAACTCCAGAGATGCCCCGAGAACACGGTCCCAAGTCTAGAGGAACACCAACTTCAGCACAGCAACTCGATGAATGCTTCGTGTACCACAAATCGTCTCGAGATGAGAGCTGATTCCCTGGCTTAGGCTCAAGACTTATGCCAACTTTCCAGAAGCACCTCAGGAGGAGGCTTCTCTCAGCAATAGGTATGTGGAAGGGACCCCGAGTTTGCTGCCTCCAGGGGAATATACAGCGAGAAGCCCTAACTTGAAAGGAGGCCGCATTTCCTTGCAGTGGCTTGAATACAGGCTCGTCTTTCATCTCACAACATGAAGGGATGTCTGAATCCCCTGTGGAGACCTTAGAGAAAGCCCTAGGTCCCTGCCTCATTTTGACGGAATGCCTCACATCCCGCTGACACCTCGAGAGGCACGCGGAGTTCATTGCTTCAAAAGGTGACGATGCCTGACTCCTCTTGAATACTGATAGGAATCTCAAAATCGCTGTGGCTACTGGAAAGGGTCCTTGGGTACCCTGCCTCACCTCGAGAAGCGTCCCTTTTGCTCTGCAAGCTTCGTAGAGATTCCTGAGGTGTCCCTCGTTACTAGACAGGAGTCCTGACGTCACTGAAGAAACTCGTGTTTTGAAGGGCCATCCCCGCCGTAAGTCGAGAACATACCCCAGGTCCCCGCCTCAACTCGAGAAAAACCATGAGACTTCCCCCTAGAGGCGAGATGAGGCCCCATTCCCGTGCAGTGCATGCAGAGCTATTCCGTGATCCCATTCAAACAAGTCAGGAGCTTCGACTTGCTTAGTGGATCTCGAGACAGTCCCCAAAAACACTGTCACCAGTCTAGACGGACCCTGAGGTCACCCCAGCAACGCAAAGCAGCTCCATGTGCCCCAAATCAACTCGAGATGAGGCCCGATTCCCCTGCATTGACTCCAGAGCCATTCCCCGTTCCCCATTCAACAAGACCGGTGGCTCGACTTCCTTCAGGCAACTCCAGAGATGCCCCGAGAACACTGTCCCAAGTGTAGAGGAACACCAACTTCAGCATAGCAACTCGAGGAATGCTCCATGTAACCCAAATCGTCTCGAGATGAGAGCCGATTCCCTGGCTTAGGCTCAAGACGTATGCCAACTTTCCAGAAGCACCTCAGGAGGAGGCTTCTCTCAGCAATAGTTATGTGGGAGGGACCCCGAGTTTGCTGCCTCAAGGGGAATATACAGCGAGAAACCCTAACTTGAAAGGAGGCCGGATTTCCTTGCAGTGGCTTGAATACAGGCTCTTCTTTCATCTCACAACAAGAAGGGATGTCTGAATCCCCTGTGCAGACCTTAGAGAAAGCCTTAGGTCCCTGCCTCATTTTGACGGAATGCCTCACGTCCTGCTGACACCTCGAGAGGCACGCGGAGTTCATTGCTTCAAAAGGTGACGATTCCTGACTCCTCTTGAATACTGATAGGAATCCCAAAATCCCTGTGGCTACGGGAAAGGGTCCTTGGGTGCCCTGCCTCACCTCGAGAAGCGTCCCTTTTGCCCTTCCAAGCCTCGAAGAGATTCCTGAGGTGTCCCTCGTTACTAGACAGGAGTCCTGACGTCACTGAGGAAACTCGTGTTTTGAAGGGCCATCCCCGCCGTAAATCGAGAACATACCCCAGGTCCCCGCCACAACTCGAGAAAAACCATGAGACTTCCCCCTAGAGGCGAGATGAGGTCCCATTCCCCTGCAGTGCATGCAGAGCTATTCCGTGATCCCATTCCAACAAGTCAGGAGCTTCGACTTGCTTAATGGATCTCGAGACAGTCCCCAAGAACACTGTCACCAGTCTAGACGGACCCTGAGGTCACCCCAACAAAACAAAGCAGCTCCATGTGCCCCAAATCAACTCGAGATGAGGTCCCATTCGCCTGCATTAACGCCAGAGCCATTCCCCGTTCCCCATTCAACACGACCGGTGGCTCGACTTCCTTCAGGCAACTCCAGAGATGCCCCGACAACAGTGTCCCAAGTCTAGAGGAACACCAACCTCAGCACAGCACTTGAGGAATGCTCCGTGTACCCCAAATCGTCTAGAGATGAGAGCTGATTCCCTGGCTTAGGCTCAAGACGTATGCCAACTTTCCAGAAGCACCTCAGGAGGAGGCTTCTCCCAGCAATAGGTATTTGGGAGGGACCCCGAGTTTGCTGACTCAAGGGGAATATACAGCGAGAAGCCATAACTTGAAAGGAGGCCGGATTTCCTTGCAGTGGCTTGAATACAGGCTCGTCTTTCATCTCACAACATGAAGGGATGTCTGAATCCCCTGTGGATACCTTAGAGAAAGCCCTAGGTCCCTGCCTCATTTTGACGGAATGCCTCACATCACGCTGACACCTCGAGAGGCACGCGGATTTCAATGCTTCAAAAGGTGACGATGCCTGACTCCTCTTGAATACTGATAGGAATCCCAAAATCCCTGTGGCTACGGGAAAGGGACCTTGGGTGCCCTGCCTCACCTCGAGAAGCGTCCCTTTTGCCCTGCCAAGCCTCGAAGAGATTCCTGAGGTGTCCCTCGTTACTAGACAGGAGTCGTGAGGTCACTGAAGAAACTCGTGTTTTGAAGGGCCATCCCCGCTGTAAGTCGAGAACATACCCCAGGTCCCCGCCGCAACTAGAGTAAAACCATGAGACTTCCCCCTAGAGGCGAGATGAGGCCCCATTCCCCTGCAGTGCATGCAGAGCTATTCCGTGATCCCATTCAAACATGTCAGGAGCTTCGACTTGCTTAGTGGATCTCGAGACAGTCCCCAAGAACACTATTACCAGTCTAGACGGACCCTGAGGTCACCCCAGCAACGCAAAGCAGCTCCATGTGCCCCAAATCAACTCGAGATGAGGCCCGATTCCCCTGCATTGACTCCAGAGCCATTCCCCGTTCCCCATTCAACACGACCGGTGGCTCGACTTCCTTCAGGCAACTCCAGAGATGCCCCGAGAACACTGTCCCAAGTCTAGAGGAACACCAACTTCAGCACAGCAACTCGAGGAATGCTTCGTGTACCCCAAATCGTCTCGAGATGAGAGCTGATTCCCTGGCTTAGGCTCAAGACTTATGCCAACTTTCCAGAAGCACCTCAGGAGGAGGATTCTCTCAGCAATAGGTATGTGGAAGGGACCCCGAGTTTGCTGCCTCAAGGGGAATATACAGCGAGAAGCCCTAACTTGAAAGGAGGCCGCATTTCCTTGCAGTGGCTTGAATACAGGCTCGTCTTTCATCTCACAACATGAAGGGATATCTGAATCCCCTGTGGAGACCTTAGAGAAAGCCCTAGGTCCCTGCCTCATTTTGACGGAATGCCTCACATCCCGCTGACACCTCGAGAGGCACGCGGAGTTCATTGCTTCAAAAGGTGACGATGCCTGACTCCTCTTGAATACTGATAGGAATCCCAAAATCCCTGTGGCTACTGGAAAGGGTCCTTGGGTGCCCTGCCTCACCTCGAGAAGCGTCCCTTTTGCCCTGCCAAGCCTCGAAGAGATTCCTGAGGTGTCCCTCATTACTAGACAGGAGTCCTGACGTCACTGAAGAAACTCGTGTTTTGAAGGGCCATCCCCGCCGTAAGTCGAGAACATACCCCAGGTCCCCGCCGCAACTCGAGAAAAACCATGAGACTTCCCCCTAGAGGCGAGATGAGGCCCCATTCCCTTGCAGTGCATGCAGAGCTATCCCATGATCCCATTCAAACAAGTCAGGAGCTTCGACTTGCTTAATGGATCTCGAGACAGTCCCCAAGAACACTGTCACCAGTCTCGACGGACCCTGAGGTCACCCCAGCATCGCAAAGCAGCTCCATGTGCCCCAAATCAACTCGAGATGAGGCCCGATTCCCCTGCATTCACTCCAGAGCCATTCCCCGTTCCCCATTCAACACGACCGGTGGCTCGACTTCCTTCAGGCAACTCCAGAGATGCCCCGAGAACACTGTCCCACGTCTAGAGGAACACCAACTTCAGCACAGCAACTCGAGGAATGCTCCGTGTACCCCAAATTGTCTCGAGATGAGAGCTGATTCCCTGGATTAGGCTCAAGACGTATGCCAACTTTCCAGAAGCACCTCAGGAGGAGGCTTCTCTCAGCAATAGGTATGTGGAAGGGACCCCGAGTTTGCTGCCTCCAGGGGAATATACAGCGAGAATCCCTAACTTGAAAGGAGGCCGCATTTCCTTGCAGTGGCTTAAATACAGGCTGGTCTTTCATCTCACAACATGAAGGGATGTCTGAATCCCCTGTGGAGACCTTAGAGAAAGCCCTAGGTCCCTGCCTCATTTTGACGGAATGCCTCACATCCCGCTGACACTTCGAGAGGCACGCGGAGTTCATTGCTTCAAAAGGTGACGATGCCTGACTCCTCTTGAATACTGATAGGAATCCCAAAATCCCTGTGGCTACGGGAAAGGGTCCTTGGGTGCCCTGCCTCACTTCGAGAAGCGTCCCTTTTGCCCTGCCAAGCCTCGAAGAGATTCCTGAGGTGTCCCTCGTTACTAGACAGGAGTCCTGACGTCACTGAAGAAACTCGTGTTTTGAAGGGCCATCCCCGCCGTAAGTCGAGAACATACTCCAGGTCCCCGCCGCAACTCGAGAAAAACCATGAGACTTCCCCCTTGAGGCGAGATGAGGTCCCATTCCCCTGCAGTGCATGCAGAGCTATTCCGTGATCCCATTCAAACAAGTCAGGAGCTTCGACTTGCTTAATGGATCTCGAGACAGTCCCCAAGAACACTGTCACCAGTCTCGACGGACCCTGAGGTCACCCCAGCAAAGCAAAGCAGCTCCATGTGCCCCAAATCAACTCGAGATGAGGTCCCATTCGCATGCATTGACGCCAGAGCCATTCCCCGTTCCCCATTCAACACGACCGGTGGCTCGACTTCCTTCAGGCAACTCCAGAGATGCCCAGACAACAGTGTCCCAAGTCTAGAGGAACACCAACCTCAGCACAGCACTTGAGGAATGCTCCGTGTACCACAAATCGTCTAGAGATGAGAGCTGATTCCCTGGCTTAGGCTGAAGACGTATGCCAACTTTCCAGAAGCACCTCAGGAGGAGGATTCTCTCAGCAATAGGTATGTGGGAGGGACCCCGAGTTTGCTGCCTCAAGGGGAATATACAGTGAGAAGCCATAACTTGAAAGGAGGCCGGATTTCCTTGTAGTGGCTTGAATACAGGCTCGTCTTTCATCTCACAACATGAAGGGATGTCTGAATCCCCTGTGGAGACCTTAGAGAAAGCCCTAGGTCCCTGCCTCATTTTGACGGAATGCCTCACATCCCGCTGACACCTCGAGAGGCACGCGGAGTTCATTGCTTCAAAAGGTGACGATGCCTGACTCCTCTTGAATACTGATAGGAATCCCAAAATCCCTGTGGCTACGGGAAAGGGTCCTTGGGTGCCCTGCCTCACCTCGAGAAGCGTCCCTTTTGCCCTGCCAAGCCTCGAAGAGATTCCTGAAGTGTCCCTCGTTACTAGACAGGAGTCCTGAGGTCACTGAAGAAACTCGTGTTTTGAAGGGCCATCCCCGCCGTAAGTCGAGAACATACCCCAAGTCCCCGACGCAACTAGAGTAAAACCATGAGACTTCCCCCTAGAGGCGAGATGAGGCCCCATTCCCCTGCAGTGCATGCAGAGCTATTCCGTGATCCCATTCAAACAAGTCAGGAGCTTCGACTTGCTTAATGGATCTCGAGACAGTCCCCAAGAACACTGTCACCAGTCTAGACGGACCCTGAGGTCACCCCAGCAACGCAAAGCAGCTCCATGTGCCCCAAATCAACTCGAGATGAGGCCCGATTCCCCTGCATTGACTCCAGAGCCATTCCCCGTTCCCCATTCAACACGACCGGTGGCTCGACTTCCTTCAGGCAACTCCAGAGATGCCCCGAGAACACGGTCCCAAGTCTAGAGGAACACCAACTTCAGCACAGCAACTCGAGGAATGCTTCGTGTACCCCAAATCGTCTCGAGATGAGAGCTGATTCCCTGGCTTAGGCTCAAGACTTATGCCAACTTTCCAGAAGCACCTCAGGAGGAGGCTTCTCTCAGAAATAGGTATGTGGAAGGGACCCCGAGTTTGCTGCCTCAAGGGGAATATACAGCGAGAAGCCCTAACTTGAAAGGAGGCCGCATTTCCTTGCAGTGGCTTGAATACAGGCTGGTCTTTCATCTCACAACATGAAGGGATGTCTGAATCCCCTGTGGAGACCTTAGAGAAAGCCCTAGGTCCCTGCCTCATTTTGACGGAATGCCTCACATCCCGCTGACACCTCGAGAGGCACGCGGAGTTCATTGCTTCAAAAGGTGACGATGCCTGACTCCTCTTGAATACTGATAGGAATCCCAAAATCCCTGTGGCTACTGGAAAGGGTCCTTGGGTGCCCTGCCTCACCTCGAGAAGCGTCCCTTTTGCCCTGCCAAGCCTCGAAGAGATTCCTGAGGTGTCCCTCATTACTAGACAGGAGTCCTGACGTCACTGAAGAAACTCGTGTTTTGAAGGGCCATCCCCGCCGTAAGTCGAGAACATACCCCAGGTCCCCGCGGCAACTCGAGAAAAACCATGAGACTTCCCCCTAGAGGCGAGATGAGGCCCCATTCCCTTGCAGTGCATGCAGAGCTATCCCATGATCCCATTCAAACAAGTCAGGAGCTTCGACTTGCTTAATGGATCTCGAGACAGTCCCGAAGAACACTGTCACCACTCTAGACGGACCCTGAGGTCACCCCAGCAACGCAAAGCAGCTCCATGTGCCCCAAATCAACTCGAGATGAGGCCCGATTCCCCTGCATTGACTCCAGAGCCATTCCCCGTTCCCCATTCAACACGACCGGTGGCTCGACTTCCTTCAGGCAACTCCAGAGATGCCCCGAGAACACTGTCCCAAGTCTAGAGGAACACCAACTTCAGCACAGCAACTCGAGGAATGCTCTGTGTACCTCAAATCGTCTCGAGATGAGAGCTGATTCCCTGGCTTAGGCTCAAGACTTATGCCAACTTTCCAGAAGCACCTCAGGATTAGGCTTCTCTCAGCAATAAGTATGTGGGAGGGACCCCGAGTTTGTGTCTCAAGGGCAATATACAGCGAGAAGCCCTAACTTGAAAGGAGGCCGGATTTCCTTGCAGTGGCTTGAATACAGGCTCGTCTTTCATCTCACAACATGAAGGGATGTCTGAATCCCCTGTGGAGACCTTAGAGAAAGCCCTAGGTCCCTGCCTCATTTTGACGGAATGCCTCACATCCCACTGACACCTCGAGAGGCACGCGGAGTTCATTGCTTCAAAAGGTGACGATGCCTGACTCCTCTTGAATACTGATAGGAATCCCAAAATCCCTGTGGCTACGGGAAAGGGTCCTTGGGTGCCCTGCCTCACCTCGAGAAGCGTCCCATTTGCCCTGCCAAGCCTCGAAGAGATTCCTGAGGTGTCCCTCGTTACTAGACAGGAGTCCTGACGTCACTGAAGAAACTCGTGTTTTGAAGGGCCATCCCCGCCGTAAGTCGAGAACATACCCCAGGTCCCCGCCGCAACTCGAGAAAAACCATGAGACTTCCCCCTTGAGGCGAGATGAGGCCCCATTCCCCTGCAGTGCATGCAGAGCTATCCCTTGATCCCATTCAAACAAGTCAGGAGCTTCGACTTGCTTAGTGGATCTCGAGACAGTCCCCAAGAACACTGTCACCAGTCTAGACGGACCCTGAGGTCACCCCAGCAACGCAAAGCAGCTCCATGAGCCCCAAATCAACTCGAGATGAGGCCCGATTCCCCTGCATTGACTCCAGAGCCATTCCCCCTTCCCCATTCAACACGACCGATGGCTCGACTTCCTTCAGGCAACTCCAGATATGCCCCGAGAACACTGTCCCAAGTCTAGAGGAACACCAACTTCAGCACAGCAACTTGAGGAATGCTCCGTGTACCCCAAATCGTCTCGAGATGAGAGCTGATTCCCTGGCTTAGGCTCAAGACGTATGCCAACTTTCCAGAAGCACCTCAGCAGGAGGCTTCTCTCAGCAATAGGTATGTGGAAGGGACCCCGAGTTTGCTGCCTCAAGGGGAATATACAGCGAGAAGCCCTAACTTGAAAGGAGGCCGCATTTCCTTGCAGTGGCTTGAATACAGGCTCGTCTTTCATCTCACAACATAAAGGGATGTCTGAATCCCCTGTGGAGACCTTAGAGAAAGCCCTAGGTCCCTGCCTCATTTTGACGGAATGCCTCACATCCCACTGACACCTCGAGAGGCACGCGGAGTTCATTGCTTCAAAAGGTGACGATGCCTGACTCCTCTTGAATACTGATAGGAATCCCAAAATCGCTGTGGCTACTGGAAAGGGTCCTTGGGTACACTGCCTCACCTCGAGAAGCGTCCCTTTTGCCCTGCCAAGCCTCGTAGAGATTCCTGAGGTGTCCCTCGTTACTAGACAGGAGTCCTGAGGTCACTGAAGAAACTCGTGTTTTGAAGGGCCATCCCCGCCGTAAGTCGAGAACATACCCCAGGTCCCCGCAGCCACTCGAGAAAAACAATGAGACTCCCCCCTAGAGGCGAGATGGGGCCCCATTCCCCTGCAGTGCATGCAGAGCTATTCCATGATCCCATTCAAACAAGTCAGGAGCTTCGACTTGCTTAATGGATTTCGAGACAGTCACCAAGAACACTGTCACCAGTCTAGACGGACCCTGAGGTCACCCCAGCAACGCAAAGCAGCTCCATGTGCCCCAAATCAACTCCAGATGAGGCCCGATTCCCCTGTATTGACTCCAGAGCCATTCCCCGTTCCCCATTCAACACGACCGGTGGCTCGACTTCCTTCAGGCAACTCCAGAGATGCCCCGAGAACACTGTCCCAAGTCTAGAGGAACACCAACTTCAGCACAGCAACTTGAGGAATGCTTCGTGTACCCCAAATCGTCTCGAGATGAGAGCTGATTCCCTGGCTTAGGCTCAAGACGTATGCCAACTTTCCAGAAGCACCTCAGGAGGAGGCTTCTCTCAGCAATAGTTATGTGGGAGGGACCCCGAGTTTGCTGCCTCAAGGGGAATATACAGCGAGAAGCCCTAACTTGAAAGGAGGCCGGATTTCCTTGCAGTGGCTTGAATACAGGCTCGTCTTTCATCTCACAACATGAAGGGATGACTGAATCCCCTGTGGAGACCTTAGAGAAAGCCCTAGGTCCCTGCCTCATTTTGACGGAATGCCTCTCATCTCGCTGACACCTCGAGAGGCACGCGGAGTTCATTGCTTCAAAAGGTGACGATGCCTGACTCCTCTTGAATACTGATAGGAATCCCGAAATCCCTGTGGCTGCGGGAAAGGGTCCTTGGGTGCCCTGCCTCACCTCGAGAAGCGTCCCTTTTGCCCTGCCAAGCCTCGAAGAGATTCCCGAGGTGTTCCTCGTTGCTAGACAGGAGTCCTGACGTCACTGAAGAAACTCGTGTTTTGAAGGGCCATCCCCGCCGTAAGTCGAGAACATACCCCAGGTCCCCGCCGCAACTCGAGAAAAACCATGAGATTTCCCCCTAGAGGTGAGATGAGGCCCCATTCCCCTTCAGTGCATGCAGAGCTATTCCGTGATCCCATTCAAACAAGTCAGGAGCTTCGACTTGCTTAATGGATCTCGAGACAGTCCATAAGAACACTGTCACCAGTCTAGACGGACCCTGAGGTCACCCCAGCAACGCAAAGCAGCTCCATGTGCCCCAAATCAACTCGAGATGAGGCCCGATTCCCCTTCATTGACTCCAGAGACATTCCCCGTTCCCCATTCAACACGACCGGTGGCTCGACTTCCTTCAGGCAACTCCAGAGATGCCCCGAGAACACTGTCCCAAGTCTAGAGGAACACCAACTTCAGCACAGCAACTCGAGGAATGCTCCGTGTACCTCAAATTGTCTCGAGATGAGAGCTGATTCCCTGGCTTAGGCTCAAGACGTATGCCAACTTTCCAGAAGCACCTCAGGAGGAGGCTTCTCTCAGCAATAGTTATGTGGGAGGGACCCCGAGTTTGCTGCCTCAAGGGGAATATACAGCGAGAAGCCCTAACTTGAAAGGAGGCCGGATTTCCTTGCAGTGGCTTGAATACAGGCTCGTCTTTCATCTCACAACATGAAGGGATGTCTGAATCCCCTGTGGAGACCTTAGAGAAAGCCTTAGGTCCCTGCCTCATTTTGACGGAATGCCTCTCGTCCCGCTGACACCTCGAGAGGCACGCGGAGTTCATTGCTTCAAAAGGTGACGATGCCTGACTCCTCTTGAATACTGATAGGAATCCCAAAATCCCTGTGGCTACGGGAAAGGGTCCTTGGGTGCCCTGCCTCACGTCGAGAAGCGTCCCTTTTGCCCTGCCAAGCCTCGAAGAGATTCCTGAGGTGTCCCTCGTTACTAGACAGTAGTCCTGAGGTCACTGAAGAAACTCGTGTTTTGAAGGTCCATCCCCGCCGTAAGTCGAGAACATACCCCAGGTCCCCGCCGCAACTCGAGAAAAACCATGAGACTTCCCCCTAGAGGCGAGATGAGGCCCCATTCCCCTGCAGTGAATGCAGAGCTATTCCGTGATCCCATTCCAACAAGTCAGGAGCTTCGACTTGCTTAATGGATCTCGAGACAGTCCCCAAGAACACTGTCACCAGTCTAGACGGACCCTGAGGTCACCCCAGCAAAGCAAAGCAGCTCCATGTGCCCCAAATCAACTCGAGATGAGGCCCGATTCCCCTGCATTGACGCCAGAGCCATTCCCCGTTCCCCATTCAACACGACCGGTGGCTCCACTTCCTTCAGGCAACTCCAGAGATGCCCCGACAACAGTGTCCCAAGTCTAGAGGAACACCAACCTCAGCACAGCACTTGAGGAATGCTCCGTGTACCCCAAATCGTCTCGAGATGAGAGCTGATTCCCTGGCTTAGGCTCAAGACGTATGCCAACTTTCCAGAAGCACCTCAGGAGGAGGCTTCTCCCAGCAATAGGTATGTGGGAGGGACCCCGAGTTTGCTGCCTCAAGGGGAATATACAGCGAGAAGCCATAACTTGAAAGGAGGCCGGATTTCCTTGCAGTGGCTAGAATACAGGCTCATCTTTCATCTCACAACATGAAGGGATGTCTGAATCCCCTGTGGATACCTTAGAGAAAGCCCTAGGTCCCTGCCTCATTTTGACGGAATGCCTCACATCCCGCTGACACCTCGAGAGGCACGCGGAGTTCATTGCTTCAAAAGGTGACGATGCCTGACTCCTCTTGAATACTGATAGGAATCCCAAAATCCCTGTGGCTACGGGAAAGGGTCCTTGGGTGCCCTGCCTCACCTCGAGAAGCGTCCCTTTTGCACTGCCAAGCCTCGAAGAGATTCCTGAGGTGTCCCTCGTTACTAGACAGGAGTCCTGACGTCACTGAAGAAACTCGTGTTTTGAAGGGCCATCCCCGCCGTAAGTCGAGAACATACCCCAGGTCCCGGCCGCAACTAGAGTAAAACCATGAGACTTCCCCCTAGAGGCGAGATGAGGCCCCATTCCCCTGGAGTGCATGCAGAGCTATTCCGTGATCCCATTCAAACAAGTCAGGAGCTTCGACTTGCTTAATGGATCTCGAGACAGTCCCCAAGAACACTGTCACCAGTCTAGACGGACCCTGAGGTCACCCCAGCAACGCAAAGCAGCTCCATGTGCCCCAAATCAACTCGAGATGAGGCCCGATTCCCCTGCATTGAGTCCAGAGCCATTCATCGTTCCCCATTCAACACGACCGGTGGCTCGACTTCCTTCAGGCAACTCCAGAGATGCCCCGAGAACACGGTCCCAAGTCTAGAGGAACACCAACTTCAGCACAGCAACTCGAGGAATGCTTCGTGTACCCCAAATCGTCTCGAGATGAGAGCTGATTCCCTGGCTTAGGCTCAAGACTTATGCCAACTTTCCAGAAGCACCTCAGGAGGAGGCTTCTCTCAGCAATAGGTATGTGGAAGGGACCCCGAGTTTGCTGCCTCCAGGGGAATATACAGCGAGAAGCCCTAACTTGAAAGGAGGCCGTATTTCCTTGCAGTGGCTTGAATACAGGCTCGTCTTTCATCTCACAACATGAAGGGATGTCTGAATCCCCTGTGGAGACCTTAGAGAAAGCCCTAGGTCCCTGCCTCATTTTGACGGAATGCCTCACATCCCGCTGACACCTCGAGAGGCACGCGCAGTTCATTGCTTCAAAAGGTGACGATGCCTGACTCCTCTTGAATACTGATAGGAATCCCAAAATCGCTGTGGCTACTGGAAAGGGTCCTTGGGTGCCCTGCCTCACCTTGTGAAGCGTCCCTTTTGCCCTGCCAAGCCTCTTAGAGATTCCTGAGCTGTCCCTCATTACTAGACAGGAGTCCTGACGTCACTGAAGAAACTCGTGTTTTGAAGGGCCATCCCCGCCGTAAGTCGAGAACATACCCCAGGTCCCCGCCGCAACTCGAGAAAAACCATGAGACTTCCCTCTAGAGGCGAGATGAGGCCCCATTCCCCTGCAGTGCATGCAGAGCTATTCCGTGATCCCATTCAAACAAGTCAGGAGCTTCGACTTGCTTAATGGATCTCGAGACAGTCCCCAAGAACACTGTCACCAGTCTAGACGGACCCTGAGGTCACCCCAGCAACGCAAAGCAGCTCCATGTGCCCCAAATCAACTCCAGATGAGGCCCGATTCCCCTGTATTGACTCCAGAGCCATTCCCCGTTCCCCATTCAACACGACCGGTGGCTCGACTTCCTTCAGGCAACTCCAGAGATGCCCCGAGAACACTGTCCCAAGTCTAGAGGAACACCAACTTCAGCACAGCAACTTGAGGAATGCTTCGTGTACCCCAAATTGTCTCGAGATGAGAGCTGATTCCCTGGCTTAGGCTCAAGACGTATGCCAACTTTCCAGAAGCACCTCAGGAGGAGGCTTCTCTCAGCAATAGTTATGTGGGAGGGACCCCGAGTTTGCTGCCTCAAGGGGAATATACAGCGAGAAGCCCTAACTTGAAAGGAGGCCGGATTTCCTTGCAGTGGCTTGAATACAGGCTCGTCTTTCATCTCACAACATGAAGGGATGTCTGAATCCCCTGTGGAGACCTTAGAGAAAGCCGTAGGTCCCTGCCTCATTTTGACGGAATGCCTCACGTCCCGCTGACACCTCGAGAGGCACGCGGAGTTCATTGCTTCAAAAGGTGACGATGCCTGACTCCTCTTGAATACTGATAGGAATCCCAAAATCCCTGTGGCTACGGGAAAGGGTCCTTGGGTGCCCTGCCTCACCTCGAGAAGCGTCCCTTTTGCCCTGCCAAGCCTCGAAGAGATTCCTGAGGTGTCCCTCGTTACTAGACACGAGTCCTGACCTCACTGAAGAAACTCGTGTTTTGAAGGGCCATCCCCGCCGTAAGTCGAGAACATACCCCAAGTCCACACCGCAACTCGAGAAAAACCATGAGACTTCCCCCTAGAGGCGAGATGAGGCCCCTTCCCCTGCAGTGAATGCAGAGCTATTCCATGATCCCATTCAAACAAATCAGGAGCTTCGACTTGCTTAATGGATCTCGAGACAGTCCCCAAGAACACTGTCACCAGTCTAGACGGACCCTGAGGTCACCCCAGCAACGCAAAGCAGCTCCATGTGCCCCAAATCAACTTGAGATGAGGCCCGATTCCCCTGCATTGACTCCAGAGCCATTCCCCGTTCCCCATTCAACACGACCGGTGGCTCGACTTCCTTCAGGCAACTCCAGAGATGCCCCGAGAACACTGTCCCAAGTCTAGAGGAACACCAACTTCAGCACAGCAACTCGAGGAATGCTCCGTGTAACCCAAATCATCTCGAGATGAGAGCTGATTCCCTGGCTTAGGCTCAAGACCTATGCCAACTTTCCAGAAGCACCTCAGGAGGAGGCTTCTCTCACCAATAGTTATGTGGGAGGGACCCCGAGTTTGCTGCCTCAAGGGGAATTTACAGCGAGAAGCCCTAACTTGTAAGGAGGCCGGATTTCCTTGCAGTGGCTTGAATACAGGCTCGTCTTTCATCTCACAACATGAAGGGATGTCTGAATCCCCTGTGGAGACCTTAGAGAAAGCCCTAGGTCCCTGCCTCATTTTGACGGAATGCCTCTCATCTCGCTGACACCTCGAGAGGCACGCGGAGTTCATTGCTTCAAAAGGTGACGATGCCTGACTCCTCTTGAATACTGATAGGAATCCCGAAATCCTGTGGCTGCGGGAAAGGGTCCTTGGGTGCCTGCCTCACCTCGAGAAGCGTCCCTTTTGCCCTGCCAAGCCTCGAAGAGATTCCTGAGGTGTCCCTCGTTGCTAGACAGGAGTCCTGACGTCACTGAAGAAACTCGTGTTTTGAAGGGCCATCCCCGCCGTAAGTCGAGAACATACCCCAGGTCCCCGCCGCAACTCGAGAAAAACCATGAGATTTCCCCCTAGAGGTGAGATGAGGCCCCATTCCCCTTCAGTGCATGCAGAGCTATTCCGTGATCCCATTCAAACAAGTCAGGAGCTTCGACTTGCTTAATGGATCTCGAGACAGTCCATAAGAACACTGTCACCAGTCTAGACGGACCCTGAGGTCACCCCAGCAACGCAAAGCAGCTCCATGTGCCCCAAATCAACTCGAGATGAGGCCCGATTCCCCTTCATTGACTCCAGAGACATTCCCCGTTCCCCATTCAACACGACCGGTGGCTCGACTTCCTTCAGGCAACTCCAGAGATGCCCCGAGAACACTGTCCCAAGTCTAGAGGAACACCAACTTCAGCACAGCAACTCGAGGAATGCTCCGTGTAACCCAAATCGTCTCGAGATGAGAGCTGATTCCCTGGCTTAGGCTCAAGACGTATGCCAACTTTCCAGAAGCACCTCAGGAGGAGGCTTCTCCCAGCAATAGGTATGTGGGAGGGACCCCGAGTTTGCTGCCTCAAGGGGAATATACAGCGAGAAGCCATAACTTGAAAGGAGGCCGGATTTCCTTGCAGTGGCTTGAATACAGGCTCGTCTTTCATCTCACAACATGAAGGGATGTCTGAATCCCCTGTGGAGACCTTAGAGAAAGCCTTAGGTCCCTGCCTCATTTTGATGGAATGCCTCACGTCCCGCTGACATCTCGAGAGGCACGCGGAGTTCATTGCTTCAAAAGGTGACGATGCCTGACTCCTCTTGAATACTGATAGGAATCCCAAAATCCCTGTGGCTACGGGAAAGGGTCCTTGGGTGCCCTGCCTCACGTCGAGAAGCGTCCCTTTTGCCCTGCAAAGCCTCGAAGAGATTCCTGAGGTGTCCCTCGTTACTAGACAGGAGTCCTGACATCACTGAAGAAACTCGTGTTTTGAAGGTCCATCCCCGCCGTAAGTCGAGAACATACCCCAGGTCCCCGCCGCAACTCGAGAAAAACCATGAGACTTCCCCCTAGAGGCGAGATGAGGCCCCATTCCCCTGCAGTGAATGCAGAGCTATTCCGTGATCCCATTCCAACAAGTCAGGAGCTTCGACTTGCTTAATGGATCTCGAGACAGTCCCCAAGAACACTGTCACCAGTCTAGACGGACCCTGAGGTCACCCCAGCAAAGCAAAGCTGCTCCATGTGCCCCAAATCAACTCGAGATGAGGCCCGATTCCCCTGCATTGACGCCAGAGCCATTCCCCGTTCCCCATTCAACACGACCGGTGGCTCGACTTCCTTCAGGCAACTCCAGAGATGCCCCGAGAACACTGTCCCAAGTCTAGAGGAACACCAACTTCAGCACAGCAACTTGAGGAATGCTTCGTGTACCCCAAATCGTCTCGAGATGAGAGCTGATTCCCTGTCTTAGGCTCAAGACGTATGCCAACTTTCCAGAAGCACCTCAGGAGGAGGCTTCTCTCAGCAATAGTTATGTGGGAGGGACCCCGAGTTTGCTGCCTCAAGGGGAATATACAGCGAAAAGCCCTAACTTGAAAGGAGGCCGGATTTCCTTGCAGTGGCTTGAATACAGGCTCGTCTTTCATCTCACAACATGAAGGGATGTGTGAATCCCCTGTGGAGACCTTAGAGAAAGCCGTAGGTCCCTGCCTCATTTTGACGGAATGCCTCACGTCCCGCTGACACCTCGAGAGGCACGCGGAGTTCATTGCTTCAAAAGGTGACGATGCCTGACTCCTCTTGAATACTGATAGGAATCCCAAAATCCCTGTGGCTACGGGAAAGGGTCCTTGGGTGCCCTGCCTCACCTCGAGAAGCGTCCCTTTTGCCCTGCCAAGCCTCGAAGAGATTCCTGAGGTGTCCCTCGTTACTAGACACGAGTCCTGACGTCACTGAAGAAACTCGTGTTTTGAAGGGCCATCCCCGCCGTAAGTCGAGAACATACCCCAAGTCCACACCGCAACTCGAGAAAAACCATGAGACTTCCCCCTAGAGGCGAGATGAGGCCCCTTCACCTGCAGTGAATGCAGAGCTATTCCGTGATCCCATTCAAACAAATCAGGAGCTTCGACTTGCTTAATGGATCTCGAGACAGTCCCCAAGAACACTGTCACCAGTCTAGACGGACCCTGAGGTCACCCCAGCAACGCAAAGCAGCTCCATGTGCCCCAAATCAACTCGAGATGAGGCCCGATTCCCCTGCATTGACTCCAGAGCCATTCCCCGTTCCCCATTCAACACAACCGGTGGCTCGACTTCCTTCAGGCAACTCCAGAGATGCCCCGAGAACACTGTCCCAAGTCTAGAGGAACACCAACTTCAGCACAGCAACTCGAGGAATGCTCCGTGTAACCCAAATCATCTCGAGATGAGAGCTGATTCCCTGGCTTAGGCTCAAGACGTATGCCAACTTTCCAGAAGCACCTCAGGAGGAGGCTTCTCTCACCAATAGTTATGTGGGAGGGACCCCGAGTTTGCTGCCTCAAGGGGAATTTACAGCGAGAAGCCCTAACTTGAAAGGAGGCCGGATTTCCTTGCAGTGGCTTGAATACAGGCTAGTCTTTCATCTCACAACATGAAGGGATGTCTGAATCCCCTGTGGAGACCTTAGAGAAAGCCCTAGGTCCCTGCCTCATTTTGACGGAATGCCTCTCATCTCGCTGACACCTCGAGAGGCACGCGGAGTTCATTGCTTCAAAAGGTGACGATGCCTGACTCCTCTTGAATACTGATAGGAATCCCGAAATCCCTGTGGCTGCGGGAAAGGGTCCTTGGGTGCCCTGCCTCACCTCGAGAAGCGTCCCTTTTGCCCTGCCAAGCCTCGAAGAGATTCCTGAGGTGTCCCTCGTTGCTAGACAGGAGTCCTGACGTCACTGAAGAAACTCGTGTTTTGAAGGGCCATCCCCGCCGTAAGTCGAGAACATGCCCCAGGTCCCCGCCGCAACTCGAGAAAAACCATGAGATTTCCCCCTAGAGGTGAGATGAGGCCCCATTCCCCTTCAGTGCATGCAGAGCTATTCCGTGATCCCATTCAAACAAGTCAGGAGCTTCGACTTGCTTAATGGATCTCGAGACAGTCCATAAGAACACTGTCACCAGTCTAGACGGACCCTGAGGTCACCCCAGCAACGCAAAGCAGCTCCATGTGCCCCAAATCAACTCGAGATGAGGCCCGATTCCCCTTCATTGACTCCAGAGACATTCCCCGTTCCCCATTCAACACGACCGGTGGCTCGACTTCCTTCAGGCAACTCCAGAGATGCCCCGAGAACACTGTCCCAAGTCTAGAGGAACAACAACTTCAGCACAGCAACTCGAGGAATGCTCCGTGTAACCCAAATCGTCTCGAGATGAGAGCTGATTCCCTGGCTTAGGCTCAAGACGTATGCCAACTTTCCAGAAGCACCTCAGGAGGAGGCTTCTCTCAGCAATAGTTATGTGGGAGGGACCCCGAGTTTGCTGCCTCAAGGGGAATATACAGCGAGAAGCCATAACTTGAAAGGAGGCCGGATTTCCTTGCAGTGGCTTGAATATAGGCTCGTCTTTCATCTCACAACATGAAGGGATGTCTGAATCCCCTGTGGATACCTTAGAGAAAGCCTTAGGTCCCTGCCTCATTTTGACGGAATGCCTCACGTCCCGCTGACACCTCGAGAGGCACGCGGAGTTCATTGCTTCAAAAGGTGACGATGCCTGACTCCTCTTGAATACTGATAGGAATTCCAAAATCCCTGTGGCTACGGGAAAGGGTCCTTGGGTGCCCTGCCTCACGTCGAGAAGCGTCCCTTTTGCCCTGCCAAGCCTCGAAGAGATTCCTGAGGTGTCCCTCGTTACTAGAGAGGAGTCCTGACGTCACTGAAGAAACTCGTGTTTTGAAGGTCCATCCCCGCCGTAAGTCGAGAACATACCCCAGGTCCCCGCCGCAACTCGAGAAAAACCATGAGACTTCCCCCTAGAGGCGAGATGAGGCCCCATTCCCCTGCAGTGAATGCAGAGCTATTCCGTGATCCCATTCAAACAAGTCAGGAGCTTCGACTTGCTTAATGGATCTCGAGACAGTCCCCAAGAACACTGTCACCAGTCTAGACAGACCCTGAGGTCACCCCAGCAAAGCAAAGCAGCTCCATGTGCCCCAAATCAACTCGAGATGAGGCCCGATTCCCCTGCATTGACGCCAGAGCCATTCCCCGTTCCCCATTCAACACGACCGGTGGCTCGACTTCCTTCAGGCAACTCCAGAGATGCCCCGACAACAGTGTTCCAAGTCTAGAGGAACACCAACCTCAGCACAGCACTTGAGGAATGCTCCGTGTACCCCAAATCGTCTAGAGATGAGAGCTGATTCCCTGGCTTAGGCTCAAGACGTATGCCAACTTTCCAGAAGCACCTCAGGAGGAGGCTTCTCCCAGCAATAGGTATGTGGGAGGGACCCCGAGTTTGCTGCCTCAAGGGGAATATACAGCGAGAAGCCATAACTTGAAAGGAGGCCGGATTTCCTTGCAGTGGCTTGAATACAGGCTCGTCTTTCATCTCACAACATGAAGGGATGTCTGAATCCCCTGTGGATACCTTAGAGAAAGCCCTAGGTCCCTGCCTCATTTTGACGGAATGCCTCACATCCCGCTGACACCTCGAGAGGCACGCGGAGTTCATTGCTTCAAAAGGTGACGATGCCTGACTCCTCTTGAATACTGATAGGAATCCCAAAATCCCTGTGGCTACGGGAAAGGGTCCTTGGGTGCCCTGCCTCACCTCGAGAAGCGTCCCTTTTGCACTGCCAAGCCTCGAAGAGATTCCTGAGGTGTCCCTCGTTACTAGACAGGAGTCCTGACGTCACTGAAGAAACTCGTGTTTTGAAGGGCCATCCCCGCCGTAAGTCGAGAACATACCCCAGGTCCCGGCCGCAACTAGAGTAAAACCATGAGACTTCCCCCTAGAGGCGAGATGAGGCCCCATTCCCCTGGAGTGCATGCAGAGCTATTCCGTGATCCCATTCAAACAAGTCAGGAGCTTCGACTTGCTTAATGGATCTCGAGACAGTCCCCAAGAACACTGTCACCAGTCTAGACGGACCCTGAGGTCACCCCAGCAACGCAAAGCAGCTCCATGTGCCCCAAATCAACTCGAGATGAGGCCCGATTCCCCTGCATTGAGTCCAGAGCCATTCATCGTTCCCCATTCAACACGACCGGTGGCTCGACTTCCTTCAGGCAACTCCAGAGATGCCCCGAGAACACGGTCCCAAGTCTAGAGGAACACCAACTTCAGCACAGCAACTCGAGGAATGCTTCGTGTACCCCAAATCGTCTCGAGATGAGAGCTGATTCCCTGGCTTAGGCTCAAGACTTATGCCAACTTTCCAGAAGCACCTCAGGAGGAATCTTCTCTCAGCAATAGGTATGTGGAAGGGACCCCGAGTTTGCTGCCTCCAGGGGAATATACAGCGAGAAGCCCTAACTTGAAAGGAGGCCGCATTTCCTTGCAGTGGCTTGAATACAGGCTCGTCTTTCATCTCACAACATGAAGGGATGTCTGAATCCCCTGTGGAGACCTTAGAGAAAGCCCTAGGTCCCTGCCTCATTTTGACGGAATGCCTCACATCCCGCTGACACCTCGAGAGGCACACGGAGTTCATTGCTTCAAAAGGTGACGATGCCTGACTCCTCTTGAATACTGATAGGAATCCCAAAATCGCTGTGGCTACTGGAAAGGGTCCTTGGGTGCCCTGCCTCACCTTGTGAAGCGTCCCTTTTGCCCTGCCAAGCCTCTTAGAGATTCCTGAGCTGTCCCTCATTACTAGACAGGAGTCCTGACGTCACTGAAGAAACTCGTGTTTTGAAGGGCCATCCCCGCCGTAAGTCGAGGACATACCCCAGGTCCCCGCCGCAACTCGAGAAAAACCATGAGACTTCCCCCTTGAGGCGAGATGAGGCCCCTTCCCCTGCAGTGCATGCAGAGCTATTCCGTGATCCCATTCAAACAAGTCAGGAGCTTCGACTTGCTTAATGGATCTCGAGACAGTCCCCAAGAACACTGTCACCAGTCTAGACGGACCCTGAGGTCACCCCAGCAACGCAAAGCAGCTCCATGTGCCCTAAATCAACTCGAGATGCGGCCTGATTCCCCTGCATTGAGTCCAGAGCCATTCCCCGTTCCCCATTCAACACGACCGGTTGCTCGACTTCCTTCAGGCAACTCCAGAGATGCCCCGAGAACATGGTCCCAAGTCTAGAGGAACACCAACTTCAGCACAGCAACTCGAGGAATGCTTCGTGTACCCCAAATCGTCTCGAGATGAGAGCTGATTCCCTGGCTTAGGCTCAAGACGTATGCCAACTTTCCAGAAGCACCTCAGGAGGAGGCTTCTTTCAGCAATAGGTATGTGGGAGGGACCCCGAGTTGGCTGCCTCAAGGGGAATATACAGCGAGAAGCCATAACTTGAAAGGAGGCCGGATTTCCTTGCAGTGGCTTGAATACAGGCTCGTCTTTCATCTCACAACATGAAGGGATGTCTGAATCCCCTGTGGAGACCTTAGAGAAAGCCGTAGGTCCCTGCCTCATTTTGACGGAATGCCTCACGTCCCGCTGACACCTCGAGAGGCACGCGGAGTTCATTGCTTCAAAAGGTGACGATGCCTGACTCCTCTTGAATACTGATAGGAATCTCAAAATCGCTGTGGCTACTGGAAAGGGTCCTTGGGTACCCTGCCTCAACTCGAGAAGCGTCCCTTTTGCTCTGCAAGCTTCGTAGAGATTCCTGAGGTGTCCCTCGTTACTAGACAGGAGTCCTGACGTCACTGAAGAAACTCGTGTTTTGAAGGGCCATCCCCGCCGTAAGTCGAGAACATACCCCAGGTCCCCGCCGCAACTCGAGAAAAACCATGAGACTTCCCCCTTGAGGCCAGATGAGGCCCCATTCCCCTGCAGTGCATGCAGAGCTATCCCGTGATCCCATTCAAACAAGTCAGGAGCTTCGACTTGCTTAGTGGATCTCGAGACAGTCCCCAAGAACACTGTCACCAGTCTAGACGGACCCTGAGGTCACCCCAGCAACGCAAAGCAGCTCCATGAGCCCCAAATCAACTCGAGATGAGGCCCGATTCCCCTGCATTGACTCCAGAGCCATTCCCCCTTCCCCATTCAACACGACCGATGGCTCGACTTCCTTCAGGCAACTCCAGAGATGCCCCGAGAACACTGTCCCAAGTCTAGAGGAACACCAACTTCAGCACAGCAACTTGAGGAATGCTCCGTGTACCCCAAATCGTCTCGAGATGAGATCTGATTCCCTGGCTTAGGCTCAAGACTTATGCCAACTTTCCAGAAGCACCTCAGGAGGAGGCTTCTCTCAGCAATAAGTATGTGGGAGGGACCCTAGTTTGTGCCTCAAGGGCAATATACAGCGAGAAGCCCTAACTTGAAAGGAGGCCGGATTTCCTTGCAGTGGCTTGAATACAGGTTCGTCTTTCATCTCACCACATGAAGGGATGTCTGAATCCCCTGTGGAGACCTTAGAGAAAGCCCTAGGTCCCTGCCTCATTTTGACGGAATGCCTCACATCCCGTTGACACCTCGAGAGGCACGCGGAGTTCATTGCTTCAAAAGGTGACGATGCCTGACTCCTCTTGAATACTGATAGGAATCCCAAAATCCCTGTGGCTAGGGGAAAGGGTCCTTGGGTGCCCTGCCTCACCTCGAGAAGCGTCCCTTTTGCCCTGCCAAGCCTCTTAGAGATTCCTGAGGTGTCCATCGTTACTAGACAGGAGTCCTGACGTCACTGAAGAAACTCGTGTTTTGAAGGGCCATCCCCGCCGTAAGTCGAGAACATACCCCAGGTCCCCGCCACAACTCGAGAAAAACCATGAGACTTCCCCCTAGAGGCGAGATGAGGCCCCATTCCCCTGCAGTGCATGCAGAGCTATTCTGTGATCCCATTCAAACAAGTCAGGAGTTTCGACTTGCTTAATGGATCTCGACACAGTCCCCAAGAACACTGTCACCAGTCTAGACGGACCCTGAGGTCACCCCAGCAACGCAAAGCAGCTCCATGTGCCCCAAATCAACTCGAGATGAGGCCCGATTCCCCTGCATTGACTCCAGTGCAATTCCCCGTTCCCCATTCAACACGACCGGTGGCTCGACTTCCTTCAGGCAACTCCAGAGATGCCCCGAGAACACTGTCCCAAGTCTAGAGGAACACCAACTTCAGCACAGCAACTCGAGGAATGCTCCGTGTACCCCAAATTGTCTCGAGATGAGAGATGATTCCCTGGATTAGGCTCAAGACGTATGCCAACTTTCCAGAAGCACCTCAGCAGGAGGCTTCTCTCAGCAATAGGTATGTGGAAGGGACCCCGAGTTTGCTGCCTCAAGGGGAATATACAGCGAGAAGCCCTAACTTGAAAGGAGGCAGGATTTCCTTGCAGTGGCTTGAATACAGGCTCGTCTTTCATCTCACAACATGAAGGGATGTCTGAATCCCCTGTGGAGGCCTTAGAGAAAGCCCTAGGTCCCTGCCTCATTTTGACGGAATGCCTCACATCCCGCTGACACCTCGAGAGGCACGCGGAGTTCATTGCTTCAAAAGGTGACGATGCCTGACTCCTCTTGAATACTGATAGGAATCCCAAAATCCCTGTGGCTACGGGCAAGGGTCCTTGGGTGCCCTGCCTCACCTCGAGAAGCGTCCCTTTTGCCCTGCCAAGCCTCGAAGAGATTCCTGAGTTGTCCTTCGTTACTAGACAGGAGTCCTGAGGTCACTGAAGAAACTCGTGTTTTGAAGGGCCATCCCCGCCGTAAGTCGAGAACATACCCCAGGTCCCCGCCGCAACTAGAGTAAAACCATGAGACTTCCCCCTAGAGGCGAGATGAGGCCCCATTCCCTGTAGTGCATGCAGAGCTATTCCGTGATCCCATTCAAACAAGTCAGGAGCTTCAACTTGCTTAATGGATCTCGAGACAGTTCCCAAGAACACTGTCACCAGTCTAGACGGACCCTGAGGTCACCCCAGCAACGCAAAGCAGCTCCATGTGCCCCAAATCAACTCGAGATGAGGCCCGATTCCCCTGCATTGACTCCAGAGCCATTCCCCGTTCCCCATTCAACACGACCGGTGGCTCGACTTCCTTCAGGCAACTCCAGAGATGCCCCGAGAACACGGTCCCAAGTCTAGAGGAACACCAACTTCAGCACAGCAACTCGATGAATGCTTCGTGTACCACAAATCGTCTCGAGATGAGAGCTGATTCCCTGGCTTAGGCTCAAGACTTATGCCAACTTTCCAGAAGCACCTCAGGAGGAGGCTTCTCTCAGCAATAGGTATGTGGAAGGGACCCCGAGTTTGCTGCCTCCAGGGGAATATACAGCGAGAAGCCCTAACTTGAAAGGAGGCCGCATTTCCTTGCAGTGGCTTGAATACAGGCTCCTCTTTCATCTCACAACATGAAGGGATGTCTGAATCCCCTGTGGAGACCTTAGAGCAAGCCCTAGGTCCCTGCCTCATTTTGACGGAATGCCTCACATCCCGCTGACACCTCGAGAGGCACGCGGAGTTCATTGCTTCAAAAGGTGACGATGCCTGACTCCTCTTGAATACTGATAGGAATCTCAAAATCGCTGTGGCTACTGGAAAGGGTCCTTGGGTACCCTGCCTCACCTCGAGAAGCGTCCCTTTTGCTCTGCAAGCTTCGTAGAGATTCCTGAGGTGTCCCTCGTTACTAGACAGGAGTCCTGACGTCACTGAAGAAACTCGTGTTTTGAAGGGCCATCCCCGCCGTAAGTCGAGAACATACCCCAGGTCCCCGCCGCAACTCGAGAAAAACCATGAGACTTCCCCCTTGAGGCCAGATGAGGCCCCATTCCCCTGCAGTGCATGCAGAGCTATCCCGTGATCCCATTCAAACAAGTCAGGAGCTTCGACTTGCTTAGTGGATCTCGAGACAGTCCCCAAGAACACTGTCACCAGTCTAGAAGGACCCTGAGGTCACCCCAGCAACGCAAAGCAGCTCCATGAGCCCCAAATCAACTCGAGATGAGGCCCGATTCCCCTGCATTGACTCCAGAGCCATTACCCCTTCCCCATTCAACACGACCGATGGCTCGACTTCCTTCAGGCAACTCCAGAGATGCCCCGAGAACACTGTCCCAAGTCTAGAGGAACACCAACTTCAGCACAGCAACTTGAGGAATGCTCCGTGTACCCCAAATCGTCTCGAGATGAGATCTGATTCCCTGGCTTAGGCTCAAGACTTATGCCAACTTTCCAGAAGCACCTCAGGAGGAGGCTTCTCTCAGCAATAAGTATGTGGGAGGGACCCTAGTTTGTGCCTCAAGGGCAATATACAGCGAGAAGCCCTAACTTGAAAGGAGGCCGGATTTCCTTGCAGTGGCTTGAATACAGGTTCGTCTTTCATCTCACCACATGAAGGGATGTCTGAATCCCCTGTGGAGACCTTAGAGAAAGCCCTAGGTCCCTGCCTCATTTTGACGGAATGCCTCACATCCCGTTGACACCTCGAGAGGCACGCGGAGTTCATTGCTTCAAAAGGTGACGATGCCTGACTCCTCTTGAATACTGATAGGAATCCCAAAATCCCTGTGGCTAGGGGAAAGGGTCCTTGGGTGCCCTGCCTCACCTCGAGAAGCGTCCCTTTTGCCCTGCCAAGCCTCTTAGAGATTCCTGAGGTGTCCATCGTTACTAGACAGGAGTCCTGACGTCACTGAAGAAACTCGTGTTTTGAAGGGCCATCCCCGCCGTAAGTCGAGAACATACCCCAGGTCCCCGCCACAACTCGAGAAAAACCATAAGACTTCCCCCTAGAGGCGAGATGAGGCCCCATTCCCCTGCAGTGCATGCAGAGCTATTCTGTGATCCCATTCAAACAAGTCAGGAGTTTCGACTTGCTTAATGGATCTCGACACAGTCCCCAAGAACACTGTCACCAGTCTAGACGGACCCTGAGGTCACCCCAGCAACGCAAAGCAGCTCCATGTGCCCCAAATCAACTCGAGATGAGGCCCGATTCCCCTGCATTGACTCCAGTGCCATTCCCCGTTCCCCATTCAACACGACCGGTGGCTCGACTTCCTTCAGGCAACTCCAGAGATGCCCCGAGAACACTGTCCCAAGTCTAGAGGAACACCAACTTCAGCACAGCAACTCGAGGAATGCTCCGTGTACCCCAAATTGTCTCGAGATGAGAGATGATTCCCTGGATTAGGCTCAAGACGTATGCCAACTTTCCAGAAGCACCTCAGCAGGAGGCTTCTCTCAGCAATAGGTATGTGGAAGGGACCCCGAGTTTGCTGCCTCAAGGGGAATATACAGCGAGAAGCCCTAACTTGAAAGGAGGCCGCATTTCCTTGCAGTGGCTTGAATACAGGCTCGTCTTTCATCTCACAACATAAAGGGATGTCTGAATCCCCTGTGGAGACCTTAGAGAAAGCCCTAGGTCCCTGCCTCATTTTGACGGAATGCCTCACATCCCACTGACACCTCGAGAGGCACGCGGAGTTCATTGCTTCAAAAGGTGATGATGCATGACTCCTCTTGAATACTGATAGGAATCCCAAAATCGCTGTGGCTACTGGAAAGGGTCCTTGGGTACACTGCCTCACCTCGAGAAGCGTCCCTTTTGCCCTGCCAAGCCTCGTAGAGATTCCTGAGGTGTCCCTCGTTACTAGACAGGAGTCCTGAGGTCACTGAAGAAACTCGTGTTTTGAAGGGCCATCCCCGCCGTAAGTCGAGAACATACCCCAGGTCCCCGCCTCAACTCGAGAAAAACCATGAGACTTCCCCCTAGAGGCGAGATGAGGCCCCATTCCCCTGCAGTGCATGCAGAGCTATCCCGTGATCCCATTCAAACAAGTCAGGAGCTTCGACTTGCTTAATGGATCTCGAGACAGTCCCCAAGAACACTGTCACCAGTCTAGACGGACCCTGAGGTCACCGCAGCAACGCAAAGCAGCTCCATGTGCCCAAATCAACTCGAGATGAGGCCCGATTCCCTTGCATTGACTCCAGAGCCATTCCCCGTTCCCCATTCAACACGACCGGTGGCTCGACTTCCTTCAGGCAACTCCAGAGATGCCCCGAGAACACTGTCCCAAGTCTAGAGGAACACCAACTTCAGCACAGCAACTCGAGGAATGCTCTGTGTACCCCAAATCGTCTCGAGATGAGAGCTGATTCCCTGGCTTAGGCTCAAGACTTATGCCAACTTTCCAGAAGCACCTCAGGAGGAGGCTTCTCTCAGCAATAGGTATGTGGGTGGGACCCGAGTTTGCTGCCTCAAGGGGAATATACAGCGAGAAGCCCTAACTTGAAAGGAGGCAGGATTTCCTTGCAGTGGCTTGAATACAGGCTCGTCTTTCATCTCACAACATGAAGGGATGTCTGAATCCCCTGTGGAGGCCTTAGAGAAAGCCCTAGGTCCCTGCCTCATTTTGACGGAATGCCTCACATCCCGCTGACACCTCGAGAGGCACGCGGAGTTCATTGCTTCAAAAGGTGACGATGCCTGACTCCTCTTGAATACTGATAGGAATCCCAAAATCCCTGTGGCTACGGGCAAGGGTCCTTGGGTGCCCTGCCTCACCTCGAGAAGCGTCCCTTTTGCCCTGCCAAGCCTCGAAGAGATTCCTGAGTTGTCCTTCGTTACTAGACAGGAGTCCTGAGGTCACTGAAGAAACTCGTGTTTTGAAGGGCCATCCCCGCCGTAAGTCGAGAACATACCCCAGGTCCCCGCCGCAACTAGAGTAAAACCATGAGACTTCCCCCTAGAGGCGAGATGAGGCCCCATTCCCTGTAGTGCATGCAGAGCTATTCCGTGATCCCATTCAAACAAGTCAGGAGCTTCAACTTGCTTAATGGATCTCGAGACAGTTCCCAAGAACACTGTCACCAGTCTAGACGGACCCTGAGGTCACCCCAGCAACGCAAAGCAGCTCCATGTGCCCCAAATCAACTCGAGATGAGGCCCGATTCCCCTGCATTGACTCCAGAGCCATTCCCCGTTCCCCATTCAACACGACCGGTGGCTCGACTTCCTTCAGGCAACTCCAGAGATGCCCCGAGAACACGGTCCCAAGTCTAGAGGAACACCAACTTCAGCACAGCAACTCGATGAATGCTTCGTGTACCACAAATCGTCTCGAGATGAGAGCTGATTCCCTGGCTTAGGCTCAAGACTTATGCCAACTTTCCAGAAGCACCTCAGGAGGAGGCTTCTCTCAGCAATAGGTATGTGGAAGGGACCCCGAGTTTGCTGCCTCCAGGGGAATATACAGCGAGAAGCCCTAACTTGAAAGGAGGCCGCATTTCCTTGCAGTGGCTTGAATACAGGCTCGTCTTTCATCTCACAACATGAAGGGATGTCTGAATCCCCTGTGGAGACCTTAGAGAAAGCCCTAGGTCCCTGCCTCATTTTGACGGAATGCCTCACATCCCGCTGACACCTCGAGAGGCACGCGGAGTTCATTGCTTCAAAAGGTGACGATGCCTGACTCCTCTTGAATACTGATAGGAATCTCAAAATCGCTGTGGCTACTGGAAAGGGTCCTTGGGTACCCTGCCTCACCTCGAGAAGCGTCCCTTTTGCTCTGCAAGCTTCGTAGAGATTCCTGAGGTGTCCCTCGTTACTAGACAGGAGTCCTGACGTCACTGAAGAAACTCGTGTTTTGAAGGGCCATCCCCGCCGTAAGTCGAGAACATACCCCAGGTCCCCGCCGCAACTCGAGAAAAACCATGAGACTTCCCCCTTGAGGCGAGATGAGGCCCCATTCCCCTGCAGTGCATGCAGAGCTATCCCGTGATCCCATTCAAACAAGTCAGGAGTTTCGACTTGCTTAGTGGATCTCGAGACAGTCCCCAAGAACACTGTCACCAGTCTAGACGGACCCTGAGGTCACCCCAGCAACGCAAAGCAGCTCCATGAGCCCCAAATCAACTCGAGATGAGGCCCGATTCCCCTGCATTGACTCCAGAGACATTCCCCCTTCCCCATTCAACACGACCGATGGCTCGACTTCCTTCAGGCAACTCCAGAGATGCCCCGAGAACACTGTCCCAAGTCTAGAGGAACACCAACTTCAGCACAGCAACTTGAGGAATGCTCCGTGTACCCCAAATCGTCTCGAGATGAGATCTGATTCCCTGGCTTAGGCTCAAGACTTATGCCAACTTTCCAGAAGCACCTCAGGAGGAGGCTTCTCTCAGCAATAAGTATGTGGGAGGGACGCTAGTTTGTGCCTCAAGGGCAATATACAGCGAGAAGCCCTAACTTGAAAGGAGGCCGGATTTCCTTGCAGTGGCTTCAATACAGGTTCGTCTTTCATCTCACCACATGAAGGGATGTCTGAATCCCCTGTGGAGACCTTAGAGAAAGCCCTAGGTCCCTGCCTCATTTTGACGGAATGCCTCACATCCCGTTGACACCTCGAGAGGCACGCGGAGTTCATTGCTTCAAAAGGTGACGATGCCTGACTCCTCTTGAATACTGATAGGAATCCCAAAATCCCTGTGGCTAGGGGAAAGGGTCCTTGGGTGCCCTGCCTCACCTCGAGAAGCGTCCCTTTTGCCCTGCCAAGCCTCTTAGAGATTCCTGAGGTGTCCATCGTTACTAGACAGGAGTCCTGACGTCACTGAAGAAACTCGTGTTTTGAAGGGCCATCCCCGCCGTAAGTCGAGAACATACCCCAGGTCCCCGCCACAACTCGAGAAAAACCATAAGACTTCCCCCTAGAGGCGAGATGAGGCCCCATTCCCCTGCAGTGCATGCAGAGCTATTCTGTGATCCCATTCAAACAAGTCAGGAGTTTCGACTTGCTTAATGGATCTCGACACAGTCCCCAAGAACACTGTCACCAGTCTAGACGGACCCTGAGGTCACCCCAGCAACGCAAAGCAGCTCCATGTGCCCCAAATCAACTCGAGATGAGGCCCGATTCCCCTGCATTGACTCCAGAGCCATTCCCCGTTCCCCATTCAACACGACCGGTGGCTCGACTTCCTTCAGGCAACTCCAGAGATGCCCCGAGAACACTGTCCCAAGTCTAGAGGAACACCAACTTCAGCACAGCAACTTGAGGAATGCTTCGTGTACCCCAAATCGTCTCGAGATGAGAGCTGATTCCCTGGCTTAGGCTCAAGACGTATGCCAACTTTCCAGAAGCACCTCAGGAGGAGGCTTCTCTCAGCAATAGTTATGTGGGAGGGACCCCGAGTTTGCTGCCTCAAGGGGAATATACAGCGAGAAGCCCTAACTTGAAAGGAGGCCGGATTTCCTTGCAGTGGCTTGAATACAGGCTCGTCTTTCATCTCACAACATGAAGGGATGTCTGAATCCCCTGTGGAGACCTTAGAGAAAGCCCTAGGTCCCTGCCTCATTTTGACGGAATGCCTCTCATCTCGCTGACACCTCGAGAGGCACGCGGAGTTCATTGCTTCAAAAGGTGACGATGCCTGACTCCTCTTGAATACTGATAGGAATCCCGAAATCCCTGTGGCTGCGGGAAAGGGTCCTTGGGTGCCCTGCCTCACCTCGAGAAGCGTCCCTTTTGCCCTGCCAAGCCTCGAAGAGATTCCTGAGGTGTTCCTCGTTGCTAGACAGGAGTCCTGACGTCACTGAAGAAACTCGTGTTTTGAAGGGCCATCCCCGCCGTAAGTCGAGAACATACCCCAGGTCCCCGCCGCAACTCGAGAAAAACCATGAGATTTCCCCCTAGAGGTGAGATGAGGCCCCATTCCCCTTCAGTGCATGCAGAGCTATTCCGTGATCCCATTCAAACAAGTCAGGAGCTTCGACTTGCTTACTGGATCTCGAGACAGTCCATAAGAACACTGTCACCAGTCTAGACGGACCCTGAGGTCACCCCAGCAACGCAAAGCAGCTCCATGTGCCCCAAATCAACTCGAGATGAGGCCCGATTCCCCTTCATTGACTCCAGAGACATTCCCCGTTCCCCATTCAACACGACCGGTGGCTCGACTTCCTTCAGGCAACTCCAGAGATGCCCCGAGAACACTGTCCCAAGTCTAGAGGAACACCAACTTCAGCACAGCAACTCGAGGAATGCTCCGTGTAACCCAAATCGTCTCGAGATGAGAGCTGATTCCCTGGCTTAGGCTCAAGACGTATGCCAACTTTCCAGAAGCACCTCAGGAGGAGGCTTCTCTCAGCAATAGTTATGTGGGAGGGACCCCGAGTTTGCTGCCTCAAGGGGAATATACAGCGAGAAGCCCTAACTTGAAAGGAGGCCGGATTTCCTTGCAGTGGCTTGAATACAGGCTCGTCTTTCATCTCACAACATGAAGGGATGTCTGAATCCCCTGTGGAGACCTTAGAGAAAGCCCTAGGTCCCTGCCTCATTTTGACGGAATGCCTCACGTCCCGCTGACACCTCGAGAGGCACGCGGAGTTCATTGCTTCAAAAGGTGACGATGCCTGACTCCTCTTGAATACTGATAGGAATCCCAAAATCCCTGTGGCTACGGGAAAGGGTCCTTGGGTGCCCTGCCTCACCTCGAGAAGCGTCCCTTTTGCCCTGCCAAGCCTCGAAGAGATTCCTGAGGTGTCTCTCGTTACTAGACACGAGTCCTGACGTCACTGAAGAAACTCGTGTTTTGAAGGGCCATCCCCGCCGTAAGTCGAGAACATACCCCAAGTCCACACCGCAACTCGAGAAAAACCATGAGACTTCCCCCTAGAGGCGAGATGAGGCCCCATTCCCCTGCAGTGAATGCAGAGCTATTCCGTGATCCCATTCAAACAAATCAGGAGCTTCGACTTGCTTAATGGATCTCGAGACAGTCCCCAAGAACACTGTCACCAGTCTCGACGGACCCTGAGGTCACCCCAGCAACGCAAAGCAGCTCCATGTGCCCCAAATCAACTCGAGATGAGGCCCGATTCCCCTGCATTGACTCCAGAGCCATTCCCCGTTCCCCATTCAACACGACCGGTGGCTCGACTTCCTTCAGGCAACTCCAGAGATGCCCCGAGAACACTGTCCCAAGTCTAGAGGAACACCAACTTCAGCACAGCAACTCGAGGAATGCTCCGTGTAACCCAAATCATCTCGAGATGAGAGCTGATTCCCTGGCTTAGGCTCAAGACCTATGCCAACTTTCCAGAAGCACCTCAGGAGGAGGCTTCTCTCACCAATAGTTATGTGGGAGGGACCCCGAGTTTGCTGCCTCAAGGGGAATTTACAGCGAGAAGCCCTAACTTGAAAGGAGGCCGGATTTCCTTGCAGTGGCTTGAATACAGGCTCGTCTTTCATCTCACAACATGAAGGGATGTCTGAATCCCCTGTGGAGACCTTAGAGAAAGCCCTAGGTCCCTGCCTCATTTTGACGGAATGCCTCTCATCTCGCTGACACCTCGAGAGGCACGCGGAGTTCATTGCTTCAAAAGGTGACGATGCCTGACTCCTCTTGAATACTGATAGGAATCCCGAAATCCCTGTGGCTGCGGGAAAGGGTCCTTGGGTGCCCTGCCTCACCTCGAGAAGCGTCCCTTTTGCCCTGCCAAGCCTCGAAGAGATTCCTGAGGTGTCCCTCGTTGCTAGACAGGAGTCCTGACGTCACTGAAGAAACTCGTGTTTTGAAGGGCCATCCCCGCCGTAAGTCGAGAACATACCCCAGGTCCCCGCCGCAACTCGAGAAAAACCATGAGATTTCCCCCTAGAGGTGAGATGAGGCCCCATTCCCCTTCAGTGCATGCAGAGCTATTCCGTGATCCCATTCAAACAAGTCAGGAGCTTCGACTTGCTTAATGGATCTCGAGACAGTCCATAAGAACACTGTCACCAGTCTAGACGGACCCTGAGGTCACCCCAGCAACGCAAAGCAGCTCCATGTGCCCCAAATCAACTCGAGATGAGGCCCGATTCCCCTTCATTGACTCCAGAGACATTCCCCGTTCCCCATTCAACACGACCGGTGGCTCGACTTCCTTCAGGCAACTCCAGAGATGCCCCGAGAACACTGTCCCAAGTCTAGAGGAACACCAACTTCAGCACAGCAACTCGAGGAATGCTCCGTGTAACCCAAATCGTCTCGAGATGAGAGCTGATTCCCTGGATTAGGCTCAAGACGTATGCCAACTTTCCAGAAGCACCTCAGGAGGAGGCTTCTCTCAGCAATAAGTATGTGGGAGGGACCCTAGTTTGTGCCTCAAGGGCAATATACAGCGAGAAGCCCTAACTTGAAAGGAGGCCGGATTTCCTTGCAGTGGCTTGAATACAGGTTCGTCTTTCATCTCACCACATGAAGGGATGTCTGAATCCCCTGTGGAGACCTTAGAGAAAGCCCTAGGTCCCTGCCTCATTTTGACGGAATGCCTCACATCCCGTTGACACCTCGAGAGGCACGCGGAGTTCATTGCTTCAAAAGGTGACGATGCCTGACTCCTCTTGAATACTGATAGGAATCCCAAAATCCCTGTGGCTAGGGGAAAGGGTCCTTGGGTGCCCTGCCTCACCTCGAGAAGCGTCCCTTTTGCCCTGCCAAGCCTCTTAGAGATTCCTGAGGTGTCCCTCGTTACTAGACAGGAGTCCTGACGTCACTGAAGAAACTCGTGTTTTGAAGGGCCATCCCCGCCGTAAGTCGAGAACATACCCCAGGTCCCCGCCACAACTCGAGAAAAACCATAAGACTTCCCCCTAGAGGCGAGATGAGGCCCCATTCCCCTGCAGTGCATGCAGAGCTATTCTGTGATCCCATTCAAACAAGTCAGGAGTTTCGACTTGCTTAATGGATCTCGACACAGTCCCCAAGAACACTGTCACCAGTCTAGACGGACCCTGAGGTCACCCCAGCAACGCAAAGCAGCTCCATGTGCCCCAAATCAACTCGAGATGAGGCCCGATTCCCCTGCATTGACTCCAGTGCCATTCCCCGTTCCCCATTCAACACGACCGGTGGCTCGACTTCCTTCAGGCAACTCCAGAGATGCCCCGAGAACACTGTCCCAAGTCTAGAGGAACACCAACTTCAGCACAGCAACTCGAGGAATGCTCCGTGTACCCCAAATTGTCTCGAGATGAGAGATGATTCCCTGGATTAGGCTCAAGACGTATGCCAACTTTCCAGAAGCACCTCAGCAGGAGGCTTCTCTCAGCAATAGGTATGTGGAAGGGACCCCGAGTTTGCTGCCTCAAGGGGAATATACAGCGAGAAGCCCTAACTTGAAAGGAGGCCGCATTTCCTTGCAGTGGCTTGAATACAGGCTCGTCTTTCATCTCACAACATAAAGGGATGTCTGAATCCCCTGTGGAGACCTTAGAGAAAGCCCTAGGTCCCTGCCTCATTTTGACGGAATGCCTCACATCCCACTGACACCTCGAGAGGCACGCGGAGTTCATTGTTTCAAAAGGTGACGATGCCTGACTCCTCTTGAATACTGATAGGAATCCCAAAATCGCTGTGGCTACTGGAAAGGGTCCTTGGGTACACTGCCTCACCTCGAGAAGCGTCCCTTTTGCCCTGCCAAGCCTCGTAGAGATTCCTGAGGTGTCCCTCGTTACAAGACAGGAGTCCTGAGGTCACTGAAGAAACTCGTGTTTTGAAGGGCCATCCCCGCCGTAAGTCGAGAACATACCCCAGGTCCCCGCAGCCACTCGAGAAAAACAATGAGACTCCCCCCTAGAGGCGAGATGGGGCCCCATTCCCCTGCAGTGCATGCAGAGCTATTCCATGATCCCATTCAAACAAGTCAGGAGCTTCGACTTGCTTAATGGATTTCGAGACAGTCACCAAGAACACTGTCACCAGTCTAGACGGACCCTGAGGTCACCCCAGCAACGCAAAGCAGCTCCATGTGCCCCAAATCAACTCCAGATGAGGCCCGATTCCCCTGTATTGACTCCAGAGCCATTCCCCGTTCCCCATTCAACACGACCGGGGGCTCGACTTCCTTCAGGCAACTCCAGAGATGCCCCGAGAACACTGTCCCAAGTCTAGAGGAACACCAACTTCAGCACAGCAACTTGAGGAATGCTTCGTGTACCCCAAATCGTCTCGAGATGAGAGCTGATTCCCTGGCTTAGGCTCAAGACGTATGCCAACTTTCCAGAAGCACCTCAGGAGGAGGCTTCTCTCAGCAATAGTTATGTTGGAGGGACCCCGAGTTTGCTGCCTCAAGGGGAATATACAGCGAGAAGCCCTAACTTGAAAGGAGGCCGGATTTCCTTGCAGTGGCTTGAATACAGGCTCGTCTTTCATCTCACAACATGAAGGGATGTCTGAATCCCCTGTGGAGACCTTAGAGAAAGCCCTAGGTCCCTGCCTCATTTTGACGGAATGCCTCTCATCTCGCTGACACCTCGAGAGGCACGCGGAGTTCATTGCTTCAAAAGGTGACGATGCCTGAATCCTCTTGAATACTGATAGGAATCCCGAAATCCCTGTGGCTGCGGGAAAGGGTCCTTGGGTGCCCTGCCTCACCTCGAGAAGCGTCCCTTTTGCCCTGCCAAGCCTCGAAGAGATTCCTGAGGTGTTCCTCGTTGCTAGACAGGAGTCCTGACGTCACTGAAGAAACTCGTGTTTTGAAGGGCCATCCCCGCCGTAAGTCGAGATCATACCCCAGGTCCCCGCCGCAACTCGAGAAAAACCATGAGATTTCCCCCTAGAGGTGAGATGAGGCCCCATTCCCCTTCAGTGCATGCAGAGCTATTCCGTGATCCCATTCAAACAAGTCAGGAGCTTCGACTTGCTTAATGGATCTCGAGACAGTCCATAAGAACACTGTCACCAGTCTAGACGGACCCTGAGGTCACCCCAGCAACGCAAAGCAGCTCCATGTGCCCCAAATCAACTCGAGATGAGGCCCGATTCCCCTTCATTGACTCCAGAGACATTCCCCGTTCCCCATTCAACACGACCGGTGGCTCGACTTCCTTCAGGCAACTCCAGAGATGCCCCGAGAACACTGTCCCAAGTCTAGAGGAACACCAACTTCAGCACAGCAACTCGAGGAATGCTCCGTGTAACCCAAATCGTCTCGAGATGAGAGCTGATTCCCTGGCTTAGGCTCAAGACGTATGCCAACTTTCCAGAAGCACCTCAGGAGGAGGCTTCTCTCAGCAATAGTTATGTGGGAGGGACCCCGAGTTTGCTGCCTCAAGGGGAATATACAGCGAGAAGCCCTAACTTGAAAGGAGGCCGGATTTCCTTGCAGTGGCTTGAATACAGGCTCGTCTTTCATCTCACAACATGAAGGGATGTCTGAATCCCCTGTGGAGACCTTAGAGAAAGCCCTAGGTCCCTGCCTCATTTTGACGGAATGCCTCACGTCCCGCTGACACCTCGAGAGGCACGCGGAGTTCATTGCTTCAAAAGGTGACGATGCCTGACTCCTCTTGAATACTGATAGGAATCCCAAAATCCCTGTGGCTACGGGAAAGGGTCCTTGGGTGCCCTGCCTCACCTCGAGAAGCGTCCCTTTTGCCCTGCCAAGCCTCGAAGAGATTCCTGAGGTGTCTCTCGTTACTAGACACGAGTCCTGACGTCACTGAAGAAACTTGTGTTTTGAAGGGCCATCCCCGCCGTAAGTCGAGAACATACCCCAAGTCCACACCGCAACTCGAGAAAAACCATGAGACTTCCCCCTAGAGGCGAGATGAGGCCCCATTCCCCTGCAGTGAATGCAGAGCTATTCCGTGATCCCATTCAAACAAATCAGGAGCTTCGACTTGCTTAGTGGATCTCGAGACAGTCCCCAAGAACACTGTCACCAGTCTCGACGGACCCTGAGGTCACCCCAGCAACGCAAAGCAGCTCCATGTGCCCCAAATCAACTCGAGATGAGGCCCGATTCCCCTGCATTGACTCCAGAGCCATTCCCCGTTCCCCATTCAACACGACCGGTGGCTCGACTTTCTTCAGGCAACTCCAGAGATGCCCCGAGAACACTGTCCCAAGTCTAGAGGAACACCAACTTCAGCACAGCAACTCGAGGAATGCTCCGTGTAACCCAAATCATCTCGAGATGAGAGCTGATTCCGTGGCTTAGGCTCAAGACCTATGCCAACTTTCCAGAAGCACCTCAGGAGGAGGCTTCTCTCAGCAATAGTTATGTGGGAGGGACCCCGAGTTTGCTGCCTCAAGGGGAATTTACAGCGAGAAGCCCTAACTTGAAAGGAGGCCGGATTTCCTTGCAGTGGCTTGAATACAGGCTCGTCTTTCATCTCACAACATGAAGGGATGTCTGAATCCCCTGTGGATACCTTAGAGAAAGCCTTAGGTCCCTGCCTCATTTTGACGGAATGCCTCACATCCCGCTGACACCTCGAGAGGCACGCGGAGTTCATTGCTTCAAAAGGTGACGATGCCTGACTCCTCTTGAATACTGATAGGAATCCCAAAATCCCTGTGGCTACGGGAAAGGGTCCTTGGGTGCCCTGCCTCACCTCGAGAAGCGTCCCTTTTGCACTGCCAAGCCTCGAAGAGATTCCTGAGGTGTCCCTCGTTACTAGACAGGAGTCCTGACGTCACTGAAGAAACTCGTGTTTTGAAGGGCCATCCCCGCCGTAAGTCGAGAACATACCCCAGGTCCCCGCCGCAACTAGAGTAAAACCATGAGACTTCCCCCTAGAGGCGAGATGAGGCCCCATTCCCCTGGAGTGCATGCAGAGCTATTCCGTGATCCCATTCAAACAAGTCAGGAGCTTCGACTTGCTTAATGGATCTCGAGACAGTCCCCAAGAACACTGTCACCAGTCTAGACGGACCCTGAGGTCACCCCAGCAACGCAAAGCAGCTCCATGTGCCCCAAATCAACTCGAGATGAGGCCCGATTCCCCTGCATTGACTCCAGAGCCATTCCCCGTTCCCCATTCAACACGACCGGTGGCTCGACTTCCTTCAGGCAACTCCAGAGATGCCCCGAGAACATGGTCCCAAGTCTAGAGGAACACCAACTTCAGCACAGCAACTCGAGGAATGCTTCGTGTACCCCAAATCGTCTCGAGATGAGAGCTGATTCCCTGGCTTAGGCTCAAGACTTATGCCAACTTTCCAGAAGCACCTCAGGAGGAGGCTTCTCTCAGCAATAGGTATGTGGAAGGGACCCCGAGTTTGCTGCCTCCAGGGGAATATACAGCGAGAAGCCCTAACTTGAAAGGAGGCCGCATTTCCTTGCAGTGGCTTGAATACAGGCTCGTCTTTCATCTCACAACATGAAGGGATGTCTGAATCCCCTGTGGAGACCTTAGAGAAAGCCCTAGGTCCCTGCCTCATTTTGACGGAATGCCTCACATCCCGCTGACACCTCGAGAGGCACGCGGATTTCATTGCTTCAAAAGGTGACGATGCCTGACTCCTCTTGAATACTGATAGGAATCCCAAAATCCCTGTGGCTACGGGAAAGGGTCCTTGGGTGCCCTGCCTCACCTCGAGAAGCGTCCCTTTTGCCCTGCCAAGCCTCGAAGAGATTCCTGAGGTGTCCCTCGTTACTAGACAGGAGTCCTGAGGTCACTGAAGAAACTCGTGTTTTGAAGGGCCATCCCCGCCGTAAGTCGAGAACATACCCCAGGTCCCCGCCGCAACTAGAGTAAAACCATGAGACTTCCCCCTAGAGGCGAGATGAGGCCCCATTCCCCTGCAGTGCATGCAGAGCTATTCCGTGATCCCATTCAAACAAGTCAGGAGCTTCGACTTGCTTAGTGGATCTCGAGACAGTCCCCAAGAACACTGTCACCAGTCTAGACGGACCCTGAGGTCACCCCAGCAACGCAAAGCAGCTCCATGTGCCCCAAATCAACTCGAGATGAGGCCCGATTCCCCTGCATTGACTCCAGAGCCATTCCCCGTTCCCCATTCAACACGACCGGTGGCTCGACTTCCTTCAGGCAACTCCAGAGATGCCCCGAGAACACTGTCCCAAGTCTAGAGGAACACCAACTTCAGCACAGCAACTCGAGGAATGCTTCGTGTACCCCAAATCGTCTCGAGATGAGAGCTGATTCCCTGGCTTAGGCTCAAGACTTATGCCAACTTTCCAGAAGCACCTCAGGAGGAGGATTCTCTCAGCAATAGGTATGTGGAAGGGACCCCGAGTTTGCTGCCTCAAGGGGAATATACAGCGAGAAGCCCTAACTTGAAAGGAGGCCGCATTTCCTTGCAGTGGCTTGAATACAGGCTCGTCTTTCATCTCACAACATGAAGGGATATCTGAATCCCCTGTGGAGACCTTAGAGAAAGCCCTAGGTCCCTGCCTCATTTTGACGGAATGCCTCACATCCCGCTGACACCTCGAGAGGCACGCGGAGTTCATTGCTTCAAAAGGTGACGATGCCTGACTCCTCTTGAATACTGATAGGAATCCCAAAACCCCTGTGGCTACTGGAAAGGGTCCTTGGGTGCCCTGCCTCACCTCGAGAAGCGTCCCTTTTGCCCTGCCAAGCCTCGAAGAGATTCCTGAGGTGTCCCTCATTACTAGACAGGAGTCCTGACGTCACTGAAGAAACTCGTGTTTTGAAGGGCCATCCCCGCCGTAAGTCGAGAACATACCCCAGGTCCCCGCCGCAACTCGAGAAAAACCATGAGACTTCCCCCTAGAGGCGAGATGAGGCCCCATTCCCTTGCAGTGCATGCAGAGCTATCCCATGATCCCATTCAAACAAGTCAGGAGCTTCGACTTGCTTAATGGATCTCGAGACAGTACCCAAGAACACTGTCACCACTCTAGACGGACCCTGAGGTCACCCCAGCAACGCAAAGCAGCTCCATGTGCCCCAAATCAACTCGAGATGAGGCCCGATTCCCCTGCATTGACCCCAGAGCCATTCCCCGTTCCCCAATCAACACGACCGGTGGCTCGACTTCCTTCAGGCAACTCCAGAGATGCCCCGAGAACACTGTCCCAAGTCTAGAGGAACACCAACTTCAGCACAGCAACTCGAGGAATGCTCTGTGTACCCCAAATCGTCTCGAGATGAGAGCTGATTCCCTGGCTTAGGCTCAAGACTTATGCCAACTTTCCAGAAGCACCTCAGGAGGAGGCTTCTCTCAGCAATAGTTATGTGGGTGGGACCCGAGTTTGCTGCCTCAAGGGGAATATACAGCGAGAAGCCCTGACTTGAAAGGAGGCCGGATTTCCTTGCAGTGGCTTGAATACAGGCTCGTCTTTCATCTCACAACATGAAGGGATGTCTGAATCCCCTGTGGAAACCTTAGAGAAAGCCTTAGGTCCCTGCCTCATTTTGACGGAATGCCTCACGTCCCGCTGACACCTCGAGAGGCACGCGGAGTTCATTGCTTCAAAAGGTGACGATGCCTGACTCCTCTTGAATACTGATAGGAATCCCAAAATCCCTGTGGCTACGGGAAAGGGCCCTGGGTGCCCTGCCTCACCTCGAGAAGCGTCCCTTTTGCCCTGCCAAGCCTCGAAGAGATTCCTGAGGTGTCCCTCGTTACTAGACAGGAGTCCTGACGTCACTGAAGAAACTCGTGTTTTGAAGGGCCATCCCCGCCGTAAGTCGAGAACATACCCCAGGTCCCCGCCGCAACTCGAGAAAAACCATGAGACTTCCACCTAGAGGCGAGATGAGGTCCCATTCCCCTGCAGTGCATGCAGAGCTATTCCGTGATCCCATTCCAACAAGTCAGAAGCTTCGACTTGCTTAATGGATCTCGAGACAGTCCCCAAGAACACTGTCACCAGTCTAGACGGACCCTGAAGTCACCCCAGCAAAGCAAAGCAGCTCCATGTGCCCCAAATCAACTCGAGATGAGGTCCCATTCGCCTGCATTGACGCCAGAGCCATTCCCCGTTCCCCATTCAACACGACCGGTGGCTCGACTTCCTTCAGGCAACTCCAGAGATGCCCCGACAACAGTGTCCCAAGTCGAGAGGAACACCAACCTCAGCACAGCACTTGAGGAATGCTCCGTGTACCCCAAATCGTCTAGAGATGAGAGCTGATTCCCTGGCTTAGGCTCAAGACGTATGCCATCTTTCCAGAAGCACCTCAGGAGGAGGCTTCTCCCAGCAATAGGTATGTGGGAGGGACCCCGAGTTTGCTGCCTCAAGGGGAATATACAGCGAGAAGCCATAACTTGAAAGGAGGCCGGATTTCCTTGCAGTGGCTTGAATACAGGTTCGTCTTTCATCTCACAACATGAAGGGATGTCTGAATCCCCTGTGGATACCTTAGAGAAAGCCCTAGGTCCCTGCCTCATTTTGACGGAATGCCTCACATCCCGCTGACACCTCGAGAGGCACGCGGAGTTCATTGCTTCAAAAGGTGACGATGCCTGACTCCTCTTGAATACTGATAGGAATCCCAAAATCCCTGTGGCTACTGGAAAGGGTCCTTGGGTGCCCTGCCTCACCTCGAGAAGCGTCCCTTTTGCCCTGCCAAGCCTCGAAGAGATTCCTGAGGTGTCCCTCGTTACTAGACAGGAGTCCTGAGGTCACTGAAGAAACTCGTGTTTTGAAGGGCCATCCCCGCCGTAAGTCGAGAACATACCCCAGGTCCCCGCCGCAACTCGAGAAAAACCATGAGACTTCCCCCTAGAGGCGAGATGAGGCCCCATTCCCTTGCAGTGCATGCAGAGCTATCCCATGATCCCATTCAAACAAGTCAGGAGCTTCGACTTGCTTAATGGATCTCGAGACAGTCCGAAGGACACTGTCACCACTCTAGACGGACCCTGACGTCACCCCAGCAACGCAAAGCAGCTCCAGGTGCCCCAAATCAACTCGAGATGAGGCCCGATTCCCCTGCATTGACCCCAGAGCCATTCCCCGTTCCCCATTCAACACGACCGGTGGCTCGACTTCCTTCAGGCAACTCCAGAGATGCCCCGAGAACACTGTCCCAAGTCTAGAGGAACACCAACTTCAGCACAGCAACTCGAGGAATGCTCTGTGTACCCCAAATCGTCTCGAGATGAGAGCTGATTCCCTGGCTTAGGATCAAGACTTATGCCAACTTTCCAGAAGCACCTCAGGAGGAGGCTTCTCTCAGCAATAGTTATGTGGGTGGGACCCGAGTTTGCTGCCTCAAGGGGAATATACAGCGAAAAGCCCTAACTTGAAAGGAGGCCGGATTTCCTTGCAGTGGCTTGAATACAGGCTCGTCTTTCATCTCACAACATGAAGGGATGTCTGAATCCCCTGTGGAGACCTTAGAGAAAGCCTTAGGTCCCTGCCTCATTTTGACGGAATGCCTCACGTCCCGCTGACACCTCGAGAGGCACGCGGAGTTCATTGCTTCAAAAGGTGACGATGCCTGACTCCTCTTGAATACTGATAGGAATCCCAAAATCCCTGTGGCTACGTGAAAGGGTCCTTGGGTGCCCTGCCTCACCTCGAGAAGCGTCCCTTTTGCCCTGCCAAGCCTCGAAGAGATTCCTGAGGTGTCCCTCGTTACAAGACAGGAGTCCTGACGTCACTGAAGAAACTCGTGTTTTGAAGGGCCATCCCCGCCGTAAGTCGAGAACATACTCCAGGTCCCCGCCGCAACTCGAGAAAAACCATGAGACTTCCCCCTTGAGGCGAGATGAGGCCCCATTCCCCTGCAGTGCATGCAGAGCTATTCCGTGATCCCATTCAAACAAGTCAGGAGCTTCGACTTGCTTAATGGATCTCGAGACATTCCCCAAGAACACTGTCACCAGTCTAGACGGACCCTGAGGTCACCCCAGCAACGCAAAGCAGCTCCATGTGCCCCAAAACAACTCCAGATGAGGCCCGATTCCCCTTCATTGACTCCAGAGACATTCCCCGTTCCCCATTCAACACGACCGGTGGCTCGACTTCCTTCAGGCAACTCCAGAGATGCCCCGAGAACACTGTCCCAAGTCTAGAGGAACACCAACTTCAGCATAGCAACTCGAGGAATGCTCCGTGTAACCCAAATCGTATCGAGATGAGAGCTGATTCCCTGGCTTAGGCTCAAGACGTATGCCAACTTTCCAGAAGCACCTCAGGAGGAGGCTTCTCTCAGCAATAGTTATGTGGGAGGGACCCCGAGTTTGCTGCCTCAAGGGGAATATACAGCGAGAAGCCCTAACTTGAAAGGAGGCCGGATTTCCTTGAAGTGGCTTGAATACAGGCTCGTCTTTCATCTCACAACATGAAGGGATGTCTGAATCCCCTGTGGAGACCTTAGAGAAAGACCTAGGTCCCTGCCTCATTTTGACGGAATGCCTCACGTCCCGCTGACACCTCGAGAGGCACGCGGAGTTCATTGCTTCAAAAGGTGACGATGCCTGACTCCTCTTGAATACTGATAGGAATCCCAAAATCCCTGTGGCTACGGGAAAGGGTCCTTGGGTGCCCTGCCTCACCTCGAGAAGCGTCCCTTTTGCCCTGCCAAGCCTCGAAGAGATTCCTGAGGTGTCCCTCGTTACTAGACTGGAGACCTGACGTCACTGAAGAAACTCGTGTTTTGAAGGGCCATCCCCGCCGTAAGTCGAGAACATACCCCAGGTCCCCGCCGCAACTCGAGAAAAACCATGAGACTTCCCCCTAGAGGCGAGATGAGGTCCCATTCCCCTGCAGTGCATGCAGAGCTATTCCGTGATCCCATTCCAACAAGTCAGGAGCTTCGACTTGCTTAATGGATCTCGAGACAGTCCCCAAGAACACTGTCACCAGTCTCGACGGACCCTGAGGTCACCCCAGCAAAGCAAAGCAGCTCCATGTGCCCCAAATCAACTCGAGATGAGGTCCCATTCGCATGCATTGACTCCAGAGCCATTCCCCGTTCCCCATTCAACACGACCGGTGGCTCGACTTCCTTCAGGCATCTCCAGAGATGCCCCGACAACAGTGTCCCAAGTCTAGAGGAACACCAACCTCAGCACAGCACTTGAGGAATGCTCCGTGTACCCCAAATCGTCTAGAGATGAGAGCTGATTCCCTGGCTTAGGCTCAAGACGTATGCAAACTTTCCAGAAGCACCTCAGGAGGAGGCTTCTCTCAGCAATAGGTATGTGGGAGGGACCCCGAGTTTGCTGCCTCAAGGGGAATATACAGTGAGAAGCCATAACTTGAAAGGAGGCCGGATTTCATTGTAGTGGCTTGAATACAGGCTCGTCTTTCATCTCACAACATGAAGGGATGTCTGAATCCCATGTGGATACCTTAGAGAAAGCCCTAGGTCCCTGCCTCATTTTGACGGAATGCCTCACATCCCGCTGACACATCGAGAGGCACGCGGAATTCATTGCTTCAAAAGGTGACGATGCCTGACTCCTCTTGAATACTGATAGGAATCCCAAAATCCCTGAGGCTACAGGAAAGGGTCCTTGGGTGCCCTGCCTCACCTCGAGAAGCGTCCGTTTTTCCCTGCCAAGCCTCGAAGAGATTCCTGAGGTGTCCCTCGTTACTAGACAGGAGTCCTGAGGTCACTGAAGAAACTCGTGTTTTGAAGGGCCATCCCCGCCGTAAGTCGAGAACATACCCCAGGTCCCTGCCGCAACTCGAGAAAAACCATGAGACTTCCCCCTAGAGGCGAGATGAGGCCCCATTCCCCTGCAGTGCATGCAGAGCTATTCCGTGATCGCATTCAAACAAGTCAGGAGCTTCGACTTGCTTAATGGATCTCGAGACAGTCCCCAAGAACACTGTCACCAGTCTAGACGGACCCTGAGGTCACCCCAGCAACGCAAAGCAGCTGCATGTGCCCCAAATCAACTCGAGATGAGGCCCGATTCCCCTGCATTGACTCCAGAGCCATTCCCCGTTCCCCATTCAACACGACCAGTGGCTCGACTTCCTTCAGGCAACTCCAGAGATGCCCCGAGAACACGGTCCCAAGTCTAGAGGAACACCAACTTCAGCACAGCAACTCGAGGAATGCTTCGTGTACCCCAAATCGTCTCGAGATGAGAGCTGATTCCCTGGCTTAGGCTCAAGACGTATGCCAACTTTCCAGAAGCACCTCAGGAGGAGGCTTCTCCCAGCAATAGGTATGTGGGAGGGACCCCGAGTTTGCTGCCTCAAGGGGAATATACAGCGAGAAGCCATAACTTGAAAGGAGGCCGGATTTCCTTGCAGTGGCTTGAATACAGGCTCGTCTTTCATCTCACAACATGAAGGGATGTCTGAATCCCCTGTGGATACCGTAGAGAAAGCCCTAGGTCCCTGCCTCATTTTGACGGAATGCCTCACATCCCGCTGACACCTCGAGAGGCACGCGGAGTTCATTGCTTCAAAAGGTGACGATGCCTGACTCCTCTTGAATACTGATAGGAATCCCAAAATCCCTGTGGCTACGGGAAAGGGTCCTTGGGGGCCCTGCCTCACCTCGAGAAGCGTCCCTTTTGCCCTGCCAAGCCTCGAAGAGATTCCTGAGGTGTCCCTCGTTACTAGACAGGAGTCCTGAGGTCACTGAAGAAACTCGTGTTTTGAAGGGCCATCCCCGCCGTAAGTCGAGAACATACCCCAGGTCCCTGCCGCAACTCGAGAAAAACCATGAGACTTCCCCCTAGAGGCGAGATGAGGCCCCATTCCCCTGCAGTGCATGCAGAGCTATTCCGTGATCGCATTCAAACAAGTCAGGAGCTTCGACTTGCTTAATGGATCTCGAGACAGTCCCCAAGAACACTGTCACCAGTCTAGACGGACCCTGAGGTCACCCCAGCAACGCAAAGCAGCTGCATGTGCCCCAAATCAACTCGAGATGAGGCCCGATTCCCCTGCATTGACTCCAGAGCCATTCCCCGTTCCCCATTCAACACGACCAGTGGCTCGACTTCCTTCAGGCAACTCCAGAGATGCCCCGAGAACACGGTCCCAAGTCTAGAGGAACACCAACTTCAGCACAGCAACTCGAGGAATGCTTCGTGTACCCCAAATCGTCTTGAGATGAGAGCTGATTCCCTGGCTTAGGCTCAAGACTTATGCCAACTTTCCAGAAGCACCTCAGGAGGAGGCTTCTCTCAGCAATAGGTATGTGGAAGGGACCCCGAGTTTGCTGCCTCAAGGGGAATATACAGCGAGAAGCCCTAAATTGAAAGGAGGCCGCATTTCCTTGCAGTGGCTTGAATACAGGCTCGTCTTTCATCTCACAACATGAAGGGATGTCTGAATCCCCTGTGGAGACCGTAGAGAAAGCCCTAGGTCCCTGCCTCATTTTGACGGAATGCCTCACATCCCGCTGACACCTCGAGAGGCACGCGGAGTTCATTGCTTCAAAAGGTGACGATGCCTGACTCCTCTTGAAAACTGATAGGAATCCCAAAATCCCTGTGGCTACTGGAAAGGGTCCTTGGGTGCCCTGCCTCACCTCGAGAAGCGTCCCTTTTGCCCTGCCAAGCCTCGAAGAGATTCCTGAGGTGTCCCTCATTACTAGACAGAAGTCCTGACGTCACTGAAGAAACTCGTGTTTTGAAGGGCCATCCCCGCCGTAAGTCGAGAACATACCCCAGGTCCCCGCCGCAACTCGAGAAAAACCATGAGACTTCCCCCTAGAGGCGAGATGAGGCCCCATTCCCTTGCAGTGCATGCAGAGCTATCCCATGATCCCATTCAAACAAGTCAGGAGCTTCGACTTGCTTAATGGATCTCGAGACAGTCCCCAAGAACACTGTCACCAGTCTAGACGGACCCTGAGGTCACCCCAGCAACGCAAAGCAGCTCCATGTGCTCCAAATCAACTCGAGATGAGGCCCGATTCCCCTGCATTGACCCCAGAGCCATTCCCCGTTCCCCATTCAACATGACCGGTGGCTCGACTTCCTTCAGGCAACGCCAGAGATTCCCCGAGAACACTGTCCCAAGTCTAGAGGAACACCAACTTCAGCACAGCAACTCGAGGAATGCTCTGTGTACCCCAAATCGTCTCGAGATGAGAGCTGATTCCCTGGCTTAGGCTCAAGACTTATGCCAACTTTCCAGAAGCATCTCAGGAGGAGGCTTCTCTTAGCAATTGTTATGTGGGTGGGACCCGAGTTTGCTGCCTCAAGGGGAATATACAGCGAGAAGCCCTAACTTGAAAGGAGGCTGGATTTCCTTTCAGTGGCTTGAATACAGGCTCGTCTTTCATCTCACAACATGAAGGGATGTCTGAATTGCCTGTGGAGACCTTAGAGAAAGCCCTAGGTCCCTGCCTCATTTTGACGGAATGCCTCACATCCCGCTGACACCTCGAGAGGCACGCGGAGTTCATTGCTTCAAAAGGTGACGATGCCTGACTCCTCTTGAATACTGATAGGAATCCCAAAATCCCTGTGGCTACGGGAAAGGGTCCTTGGGTGCCCTGCCTCACCTCGAGAAGCGTCCCTTTTGCCCTGCCAAGCCTCTTAGAGATTCCTGAGGTGTCCCTCGTTACTAGACAGGAGTCCTGACGTCACTGAAGAAACTCGTGTTTTGAAGGGCCATCCCCGCCGTAAGTCGAGAACATACCCCACGTCCCCGCCGCAACTCGAGAAAAACCATGAGACTTCCCCCTAGAGGCGAGATGAGGCCCCATTCCCCTGCAGTGCATGCAGAGCTATTCCGTGATCCCATTCAAACAAGTCAGGAGCTTCGACTTGCTTAATGGATCTCGAGACAGTCCCCAAGAACACTGTCACCAGTCTAGACGGACCCTGAGGTCACCCCAGCATCGCAAAGCAGCTCCATGTGCCCCAAATCAACTCGAGATGAGGCCCGATTCCCCTGCATTCACTCCAGAGCCATTCCCCATTCCCCATTCAACACGACCGGTGGCTCGACTTCCTTCAGGCAACTCCAGAGATGCCCCGAGAACACGGTCCCAAGTCTAGAGGAACACCAACTTCAGCACAGCAACTCGAGGAATGCTCCGTGTACCCCAAATTGTCTCGAGATGAGAGCTGATTCCCTGGATTAGGCTCAAGACGTATGCCAACTTTCCAGAAGCACCTCAGGAGGAGGCTTCTCTCAGCAATAGGTATGTGAAAGGGACCCCGAGTTTGCTGCCTCAAGGGGAATATACAGCGAGAAGCCCTAACTTGAAAGGAGGCCGCATTTCCTTGCAGTGGCTTGAATACAGGCTCGTCTTTCATCTCACAACATGAAGGGATGTCTGAATCCCCTGTGGAGACCTTAGAGAAAGCCCTAGGTCCCTGCCTCATTTTGACGGAATGCCTCACATCCCGCTGACACCTCGAGAGGCACGCGGAGTTCATTGCTTCAAAAGGTGACGATGCCTGACTCCTCTTGAATACTGATAGGAATCCCAAAATCCCTGTGGCTACGGGAAAGGGTCCTTGGGTGCCCTGCCTCACTTCAAGAAGCGTCCCTTTTGCCCTGCCAAGCCTCGAAGAGATTCCTGAGGTGTCCCTCGTTACTAGACAGGAGTCCTGACGTCACTGAAGAAACTCGTGTTTTGAAGGGCCATCCCCGCCGTAAGTCGAGAACATACCCCAGGTCCCCGCCGCAACTCGAGAAAAACCATGAGACTTCCCCCTAGAGGCGAGATGAGGTCCCATTCCGCTGCAGTGCATGCAGAGCTATTCCGTGATCCCATTCCAACAAGTCAGGAGCTTCGACTTGCTTAATGGATCTCGAGACAGTCCCCAAGAACACTGTCACCAGTCTAGACGGACCCTGAGGTCACCCCAGAAAAGCAAAGCAGCTCCATGTGCCCCAAATCAACTCGAGATGAGGTCCCATTCGCCTGCATTGACGCCAGAGCCATTCCCCGTTCCCCATTCAACACGACCGGTGGCTCGACTTCCTTCAGGCAACTCCAGAGATGCCCCGACAACAGTGTCCCAAGTCTAGAGGAACACCAACCTCAGCACAGCACTTGAGGAATGCTCCGTGTACCCCAAATCGTCTAGAGATGAGAGCTGATTCCCTGGCTTAGGATCAAGACGTATGCCAACTTTCCAGAAGCACCTCAGGAGGAGGCTTCTCCCAGCAATAGGTATGTGGGAGGGACCCCGAGTTTGCTGCCTCAAGGGGAATATACAGCGAGAAGCCATAACTTGAAAGGAAGCCGGATTTCCTTGCAGTGGCTTGAATACAGGCTCGTCTTTCATCTCACAACATGAAGGGATGTCTGAATCCCCTGTGGATACCTTAGAGAAAGCCCTAGGTCCCTGCCTCATTTTGACGGAATGCCTCACATCCCGCTGACACCTCGAGAGGCACGCGGAGTTCATTGCTTCAAAAGGTGACGATGCCTGACTCCTCTTGAATACTGATAGGAATCCCAAAATCCCTGTGGCTACGGGAAAGGGTCCTTGGGGGCCCTGCCTCACCTCGAGAAGCGTCCCTTTTGCCCTGCCAAGCCTCGAAGAGATTCCTGAGGTGTCCCTCGTTACTAGACAGGAGTCCTGAGGTCACTGAAGAAACTCGTGTTTTGAAGGGCCATCCCCGCCGTAAGTCGAGAACATACCCCAGGTCCCCGCCGCAACTCGAGAAAAACCATGAGACTTCCCCCTAGAGGCGAGATGAGGTCCCATTCCGCTGCAGTGCATGCAGAGCTATTCCGTGATCCCATTCCAACAAGTCAGGAGCTTCGACTTGCTTAATGGATCTCGAGACAGTCCCCAAGAACACTGTCACCAGTCTAGACGGACCCTGAGGTCACCCCAGAAAAGCAAAGCAGCTCCATGTGCCCCAAATCAACTCGAGATGAGGTCCCATTCGCCTGCATTGACGCCAGAGCCATTCCCCGTTCCCCATTCAACACGACCGGTGGCTCGACTTCCTTCAGGCAACTCCAGAGATGCCCCGACAACAGTGTCCCAAGTCTAGAGGAACACCAACCTCAGCACAGCACTTGAGGAATGCTCCGTGTACCCCAAATCGTCTAGAGATGAGAGCTGATTCCCTGGCTTAGGATCAAGACGTATGCCAACTTTCCAGAAGCACCTCAGGAGGAGGCTTCTCCCAGCAATAGGTATGTGGGAGGGACCCCGAGTTTGCTGCCTCAAGGGGAATAAACAGCGAGAAGCCATAACTTGAAAGGAAGCCGGATTTCCTTGCAGTGGCTTGAATACAGGCTCGTCTTTCATCTCACAACATGAAGGGATGTCTGAATCCCCTGTGGATACCTTAGAGAAAGCCCTAGGTCCCTGCCTCATTTTGACGGAATGCCTCACATCCCGCTGACACCTCGAGAGGCACGCGGAGTTCATTGCTTCAAAAGGTGACGATGCCTGACTCCTCTTGAATACTGATAGGAATCCCAAAATCCCTGTGGCTACGGGAAAGGGTCCTTGGGGGCCCTGCCTCACCTCGAGAAGCGTCCCTTTTGCCCTGCCAAGCCTCGAAGAGATTCCTGAGGTGTCCCTCGTTACTAGACAGGAGTCCTGAGGTCACTGAAGAAACTCGTGTTTTGAAGGGCCATCCCCGCCGTAAGTCGAGAACATACCCCAGGTCCCTGCCGCAACTCGAGAAAAACCATGAGACTTCCCCCTAGAGGCGAGATGAGGCCCCATTCCCCTGCAGTGCATGCAGAGCTATTCCGTGATCGCATTCAAACAAGTCAGGAGCTTCGACTTGCTTAATGGATCTCGAGACAGTCCCCAAGAACACTGTCACCAGTCTAGACGGACCCTGAGGTCACCCCAGCAACGCAAAGCAGCTGCATGTGCCCCAAATCAACTCGAGATGAGGCCCGATTCCCCTGCATTGACTCCAGAGCCATTCCCCGTTCCCCATTCAACACGACCAGTGGCTCGACTTCCTTCAGGCAACTCCAGAGATGCCCCGAGAACACGGTCCCAAGTCTAGAGGAACACCAACTTCAGCACAGCAACTCGAGGAATGCTTCGTGTACCCCAAATCGTCTCGAGATGAGAGCTGATTCCCTGGCTTAGGCTCAAGACGTATGCCAACTTTCCAGAAGCACCTCAGGAGGAGGCTTCTCCCAGCAATAGGTATGTGGGAGGGACCCCGAGTTTGCTGCCTCAAGGGGAATATACAGCGAGAAGCCATAACTTGAAAGGAGGCCGGATTTCCTTGCAGTGGCTTGAATACAGGCTCGTCTTTCATCTCACAACATGAAGGGATGTCTGAATCCCCTGTGGATACCTTAGAGAAAGCCCTAGGTCCCTGCCTCATTTTGACGGAATGCCTCACATCCCGCTGACACCTCGAGAGGCACGCGGAGTTCATTGCTTCAAAAGGTGACGATGCCTGACTCCTCTTGAATACTGATAGGAATCCCAAAATCCCTGTGGCTACGGGAAAGGGTCCTTGGGGGCCCTGCCTCACCTCGAGAAGCGTCCCTTTTGCCCTGCCAAGCCTCGAAGAGATTCCTGAGGTGTCCCTCGTTACTAGACAGGAGTCCTGAGGTCACTGAAGAAACTCGTGTTTTGAAGGGCCATCCCCGCCGTAAGTCGAGAACATACCCCAGGTCCCTGCCGCAACTCGAGAAAAACCATGAGACTTCCCCCTAGAGGCGAGATGAGGCCCCATTCCCCTGCAGTGCATGCAGAGCTATTCCGTGATCGCATTCAAACAAGTCAGGAGCTTCGACTTGCTTAATGGATCTCGAGACAGTCCCCAAGAACACTATCACCAGTCTAGACGGACCCTGAGGTCACCCCAGCAACGCAAAGCAGCTGCATGTGCCCCAAATCAACTCGAGATGAGGCCCGATTCCCCTGCATTGACTCCAGAGCCATTCCCCGTTCCCCATTCAACACGACCAGTGGCTCGACTTCCTTCAGGCAACTCCAGAGATGCCCCGAGAACACGGTCCCAAGTCTAGAGGAACACCAACTTCAGCACAGCAACTCGAGGAATGCTTCGTGTACCCCAAATCGTCTCGAGATGAGAGCTGATTCCCTGGCTTAGGCTCAAGACTTATGCCAACTTTCCAGAAGCACCTCAGGAGGAGGCTTCTCTCAGCAATAGGTATGTGGAAGGGACCCCGAGTTTGCTGCCTCAAGGGGAATATACAGGGAGAAGCCCTAAATTGAAAGGAGGCCGCATTTCCTTGCAGTGGCTTGAATACAGGCTCGTCTTTCATCTCACAACATGAAGGGATGTCTGAATCCCCTGTGGGGACCGTAGAGAAAGCCCTAGGTCCCTGCCTCATTTTGACGGAATGCCTCCCATCCCGCTGACACCTCGAGAGGCACGCGGAGTTCATTGCTTCAAAAGGTGACGATGCCTGACTCCTCTTGAATACTGATAGGAATCCCAAAATCCCTGTGGCTACTGGAAAGGGTCCTTGGGTGCCCTGCCTCACCTCGAGAAGCGTCCCTTTTGCCCTGCCAAGCCTCGAAGAGATTCCTGAGGTGTCCCTCATTACTAGACAGAAGTCCTGACGTCACTGAAGAAACTCGTGTTTTGAAGGGCCATCCCCGCCGTAAGTCGAGAACATACCCCAGGTCCCCGCCACAACTCGAGAAAAACCATGAGACTTCCCCCTAGAGGCGAGATGAGGCCCCATTCCCTTGCAGTGCATGCAGAGCTATCCCATGATCCCATTCAAACAAGTCAGGAGCTTCGACTTGCTTAATGGATCTCGAGACAGTCCCCAAGAACACTGTCACCAGTCTAGACGGACCCTGAGGTCACCCCAGCAACGCAAAGCAGCTCCATGTGCTCCAAATCAACTCGAGATGAGGCCCGATTCCCCTGCATTGACCCCAGAGCCATTCCCCGTTCCCCATTCAACACGACCGGTGGCTCGACTTCCTTCAGGCAACGCCAGAGATTCCCCGAGAACACTGTCCCAAGTCTAGAGGAACACCAACTTCAGCACAGCAACTCGAGGAATGCTCTGTGTACCCCAAATCGTCTCGAGATGAGAGCTGATTCCCTGGCTTAGGCTCAAGACTTATGCCAACTTTCCAGAAGCATCTCAGGAGGAGGCTTCTCTTAGCAATAGTTATGTGGGTGGGACCCGAGTTTGCTGCCTCAAGGGGAATATACAGCGAGAAGCCCTAACTTGAAAGGAGGCTGGATTTCCTTTCAGTGGCTTGAATACAGGCTCGTCTTTCATCTCACAACATGAAGGGATGTCTGAATTCCCTGTGGAGACCTTAGAGAAAGCCCTAGGTCCCTGCCTCATTTTGACGGAATGCCTCACATCCCGCTGACACCTCGAGAGGCACGCGGAGTTCATTGCTTCAAAAGGTGACGATGCCTGACTCCTCTTGAATACTGATAGGAATCCCAAAATCCCTGTGGCTACGGGAAAGGGTCCTTGGGTGCCCTGCCTCACCTCGAAAAGCGTCCCTTTTGCCCTGCCAAGCCTCTTAGAGATTCCTGAGGTGTCCCTCGTTACTAGACAGGAGTCCTGACGTCACTGAAGAAACTCGTGTTTTGAAGGGCCATCCCCGCCGTAAGTCGAGATCATACCCCACGTCCCCGCCGCAACTCGAGAAAAACCATGAGACTTCCCCCTAGAGGCGAGATGAGGCCCCATTCCCCTGCAGTGCATGCAGAGCTATTCCGTGATCCCATTCACACAAGTCAGGAGCTTCGACTTGCTTAATGGATCTCGAGACAGTCCCCAAGAACACTGTCACCAGTCTAGACGGACCCTGAGGTCACCCCAGCATCGCAAAGCAGCTCCATGTGCCCCAAATCAACTCGAGATGAGGCCCGATTCCCCTGCATTCACTCCAGAGCCATTCCCCGTTCCCCATTCAACACGACCGGTGGCTCGACTTCCTTCAGGCAACTCCAGAGATGCCCCGAGAACACTGTCCCAAGTCTAGAGGAACACCAACTTCAGCACAGCAACTCGAGGAATGCTCCGTGTACCCCAAATTGTCTCGAGATGAGAGCTGATTCCCTGGATTAGGCTCAAGACGTATGCCAACTTTCCAGAAGCACCTCAGGAGGAGGCTTCTCTCAGCAATAGGTATGTGAAAGGGACCCCGAGTTTGCTGCCTCAAGGGGAATATACAGCGAGAAGCCCTAACTTGAAAGGAGGCCGCATTTCCTTGCAGTGGCTTGAATACAGGCTCGTCTTTCATCTCACAACATGAAGGGATGTCTGAATCCCCTGTGGAGACCTTAGAGAAAGCCCTAGGTCCCTGCCTCATTTTGACGGAATGCCTCACATCCCGCTGACACCTCGAGAGGCACGCGGAGTTCATTGCTTCAAAAGGTGACGATGCCTGACTCCTCTTGAATACTGATAGGAATCCCAAAATCCCTGTGGCTACGGGAAAGGGTCCTTGGGTGCCCTGCCTCACTTCAAGAAGCGTCCCTTTTGCCCTGCCAAGCCTCGAAGAGATTCCTGAGGTGTCCCTCGTTACTAGACAGGAGTCCTGACGTCACTGAAGAAACTCGTGTTTTGAAGGGCCATCCCCGCCGTAAGTCGAGAACATACGCCAGGTCCCCGCCGCAACTCGAGAAAAACCATGAGACTTCCCCCTTGAGGCGAGATGAGGCCCCATTCCCCTGCAGTGCATGCAGAGCTATCCCGTGATCCCATTCAAACAAGTCAGGAGCTTCGACTTGCTTAGTGGATCTCGAGACAGTCCCCAAGAACACTGTCACCAGTCTAGACGGACCCTGAGGTCACCCCAGCAACGCAAAGCAGCTCCATGTGCCCCAAATCAACTCGAGATGAGGCCCGATTCCCCTGCCTTCACTCCAGAGCCATTCCCCGTTCCCCATTCAACACGACCGGTGGCTCGACTTCCTTCAGGCAACTCCAGAGATGCCCCGAGAACACTGTCCCAAGTCTAGAGGAACACCAACTTCAGCACAGCAACTCGACGAATGCTTCGTGTAACCCAAATCGTCTCGAGATGAGAGCTGATTCCCTGGCCAACGCTCAAGACGTATGCCAACTTTCCAGAAGCACCTCAGGAGGAGGCTTCTCTCAGCAATAGGTATGTGGGAGGGACCCGAGGTTGCTGCCTCAAGGGGAATATACAGCGAGAAGCCCTAACTTGAAAGGAGGCCGGATTTCCTTGCAGTGGCTTGAATACAGGCTCGTCTTTCATCTCACAACATGAAGGGATGTCTGAATCCCCTGTGGAGACCTTAGAGAAAGACCTAGGTCCCTGCCTCATTTTGACGGAATGCCTCACATCCCGCTGACACCTCGAGAGGCACGCGGAGTTCATTGCTTCAAAAGGTGACGATGCCTGACTCCTCTTGAATACTGATAGGAATCCCAAAATCGCTGTGGCTAGAGGAAAGCGTCCTTGGGTACCCTGCCTCACCTCGAGAAGCGTCCCTTTTGCCCTGCCAAGCCTAGTAGAGATTCCTGAAGTGTCCCTCGTTACTAGACAGGAGTCCTGATGTCACTGAAGAAACTCGTGTTTTGAAGGGCCATCCCCGCCCTAAGTCGAGAACATACCCCAGGTCCCCAACGAAACTCGAGAAAAACCATGAGACTTCCCCCTAGAGGCGAGATGAGGCCCCATTCCCCTGCAGTGCATGCAGAGCTATTCCGTGATCCCTTTCAAACAAGTCAGGAGCTTCGACTTGCTTAGTGGATCTCGAGACAGTCCCCAAGAACACTGTCACCAGTCTAGACGGACCCTGAGGTCACCCCAGCAACGCAAAGCAGCTCCATGTGCCCCAAATCAACTCGAGATGAGGCCCGATTCCCCTGCATTCACTCCAGAGCCATTCCCCGTTCCCCATTCAACACGACCGGTGGCTCGACTTCCTTCAGGCAACTCCAGAGATGCCCCGAGAACACTGTCCCAAGTCTAGAGGAACACCAACTTCAGCACAGCAACTCGAGGAATGCTCCGTGTAACCCAAATCATCTCGCGATGAGAGCTGATTCCCTGGCTTAGGCTCAAGACGTATGCCAACTTTCCAGAAGCACCTCAGGAGGAGGTTTCTCTCACCAATAGTTATGTGGGAGGGACCCCGAGTTTGCTGCCTCAAGGGGAATTTACAGCAAGAAGCCCTAACTTGAAAGGAGGCCGGATTTCCTTGCAGTGGCTTGAATACAGGCTCGTCTTTCATCTCACAACATGAAGGGATGTCTGAATCCCCTGTGGAGACCTTAGAGAAAGCCCTAGGTCCCTGCCTCATTTTGACGGAATGCCTCACATCTCGCTGACACCTCGAGAGGCACGCGGAGTTCATTGCTTCAAAAGGTGACGATGCCTGACTCCTCTTGAATACTGATAGGAATCCCGAAATCCCTGTGGCTGCGGGAAAGGGTCCTTGGGTGCCCTGCCTCACCTCGAGAAGCGTCCCTTTTGCCCTGCCAAGCCTCTTAGAGATTCCTGAGGTGTCCCTCGTTACTAGACAGGAGTCCTGACGTCACTGAAGAAACTCGTGTTTTGAAGGGCCATCCCCGCCGTAAGTCGAGAACATACCCCAGGTCCCCGCCGCAACTCGAGAAAAACCATGAGACTTCCCCCTAGAGGCGAGATGAGGCCCCATTCCCCTGCAGTGCATGCAGAGCTATTCCGTGATCCCATTCAAACAAGTCAGGAGCTTCGACTTGCTTAATGGATCTCGAGACAGTCCCCAAGAACACTGTCACCAGTCTAGACGGACCCTGAGGTCACCCCAGCATCGCAAAGCAGCTCCATGTGCCCCAAATCAACTCGAGATGAGGCCCGATTCCCCTGCATTCACTCCAGAGCCATTCCCCGTTCCCCATTCAACACGACCGGTGGCTCGACTTCCTTCAGGCAACTCCAGAGATGCCCCGAGAACACGGTCCCAAGTCTAGAGGAACACCAACTTCAGCACAGCAACTCGAGGAATGCTCCGTGTACCCCAAATTGTCTCGAGATGAGAGCTGATTCCCTGGATTAGGCTCAAGACGTATGCCAACTTTCCAGAAGCACCTCAGGAGGAGGCTTCTCTCAGCAATAGGTATGTGAAAGGGACCCCGAGTTTGCTGCCTCAAGGGGAATATACAGCGAGAAGCCCTAACTTGAAAGGAGGCCGCATTTCCTTGCAGTGGCTTGAATACAGGCTCGTCTTTCATCTCACAACATGAAGGGATGTCTGAATCCCCTGTGGAGACCTTAGAGAAAGCCCTAGGTCCCTGCCTCATTTTGACGGAATGCCTCACATCCCGCTGACACCTCGAGAGGCACGCGGAGTTCATTGCTTCAAAAGGTGACGATGCCTGACTCCTCTTGAATACTGATAGGAATCCCAAAATCCCTGTGGCTACGGGAAAGGGTCCTTGGGTGCCCTGCCTCACTTCAAGAAGCGTCCCTTTTGCCCTGCCAAGCCTCGAAGAGATTCCTGAGGTGTCCCTCGTTACTAGACAGGAGTCCTGACGTCACTGAAGAAACTCGTGTTTTGAAGGGCCATCCCCGCCGTAAGTCGAGAACATACGCCAGGTCCCCGCCGCAACTCGAGAAAAACCATGAGACTTCCCCCTTGAGGCGAGATGAGGCCCCATTCCCCTGCAGTGCATGCAGAGCTATCCCGTGATCCCATTCAAACAAGTCAGGAGCTTCGACTTTCTTAGTGGATCTCGAGACAGTCCCCAAGAACACTGTCACCAGTCTAGACGGACCCTGAGGTCACCCCAGCAACGCAAAGCAGCTCCATGTGCCCCAAATCAACTCGAGATGAGGCCCGATTCCCCTGCCTTCACTCCAGAGCCATTCCCCGTTCCCCATTCAACACGACCGGTGGCTCGACTTCCTTCAGGCAACTCCAGAGATGCCCCGAGAACACTGTCCCAAGTCTAGAGGAACACCAACTTCAGCACAGCAACTTGAGGAATGCTCCGTGTACCCCAAATCGTCTCGAGATGAGAGCTGATTCCCTGGCTTAGGTTCAAGACTTATGCCAACTTTCCAGAAGCACCTCAGGAGGAGGCTTCTCTCAGCAATAGGTATGTGGGAGGGACCCGAGGTTGCTGCCTCAAGGGGAATATACAGCGAGAAGCCCTAACTTGAAAGGAGGCCGGATTTCCTTGCAGTGGCTTGAATACAGGCTCGTCTTTCATCTCACAACATGAAGGGATGTCTGAATCCCCTGTGGAGACCTTAGAGAAAGACCTAGGTCCCTGCCTCATTTTGACGGAATGCCTCACATCCCGCTGACACCTCGAGAGGCACGCGGAGTTCATTGCTTCAAAAGGTGACGATGCCTGACTCCTCTTGAATACTGATAGGAATCCCAAAATCGCTGTGGCTAGGGGAAAGCGTCCTTGGGTACCCTGCCTCACCTCGAGAAGCGTCCCTTTTGCCCTGCCAAGCCTAGTAGAGATTCCTGAAGTGTCCCTCGTTACTAGACAGGAGTCCTGATGTCACTGAAGAAACTCGTGTTTTGAAGGGCCATCCCCGCCCTAAGTCGAGAACATACCCCAGGTCCCCAACGAAACTTGAGAAAAACCATGAGACTTCCCCCTAGAGGCGAGATGAGGCCCCATTCCCCTGCAGTGCATGCAGAGCTATTCCGTGATCCCTTTCAAACAAGTCAGGAGCTTCGACTTGCTTAGTGGATCTCGAGACAGTCCCCAAGAACACTGTCACCAGTCTAGACGGACCCTGAGGTCACCCCAGCAACGCAAAGCAGCTCCATGTGCCCCAAATCAACTCGAGATGAGGCCCGATTCCCCTGCATTCACTCCAGAGCCATTCCCCGTTCCCCATTCAACACGACCGGTGGCTCGACTTCCTTCAGGCAACTCCAGAGATGCCCCGAGAACACTGTCCCAAGTCTAGAGGAACACCAACTTCAGCACAGCAACTCGAGGAATGCTCCGTGTAACCCAAATCATCTCGCGATGAGAGCTGATTCCCTGGCTTAGGCTCAAGACGTATGCCAACTTTCCAGAAGCACCTCAGGAGGAGGTTTCTCTCACCAATAGTTATGTGGGAGGGACCCCGAGTTTGCTGCCTCAAGGGGAATTTACAGCAAGAAGCCCTAACTTGAAAGGAGGCCGGATTTCCTTGCAGTGGCTTGAATACAGGCTCGTCTTTCATCTCACAACATGAAGGGATGTCTGAATCCCCTGTGGAGACCTTAGAGAAAGCCCTAGGTCCCTGCCTCATTTTGACGGAATGCCTCACATCTCGCTGACACCTCGAGAGGCACGCGGAGTTCATTGCTTCAAAAGGTGACGATGCCTGACTCCTCTTGAATACTGATAGGAATCCCGAAATCCCTGTGGCTACGGGAAAGGGTCCTTGGGTGCCCTGCCTCACCTTGAGAAGCGTCCCTTTTGCCTTGCCAAGCCTCGAAGAGATTCCTGAGGTGTCCCTCGTTACTAGACAGGAGTCCTGACGTCACTGAGGAAACTCGTGTTTTGAAGGGCCATCCCCGCCGTAAATCGAGAACATACCCCAGGTCCCCGCCGCAACTCGAGAAAAACCATGAGACTTCCCCCTAGAGGCGAGATGAGGTCCCATTCCCCTGCAGTGCATGCAGAGCTATTCCGTGATCCCATTCCAACAAGTCAGGAGCTTCGACTTGCTTAATGGATCTCGAGACAGTCCCCAAGAACACTGTCACCAGTCTAGACGGACCCTGAGGTCACCCCAGCAAAGCAAAGCAGCTCCATGTGCCCCAAATCAACTCGAGATGAGGTCCCATTCGCCTGCATTGACGCCAGAGCCATTCCCCGTTCCCCATTCAACACGACCGGTGGCTCGACTTCCTTCAGGCAACTCCAGAGATGCCCCGACAACTGTGTCCCAAGTCTAGAGGAACACCAACCTCAGCACAGCACTTGAGGAATGCTCCGTGTACCCCAAATCGTCTAGAGATGAGAGCTGATTCCCTGGCTTAGGCTCAAGACGTATGCCAACTTTCCAGAAGCACCTCAGGAGGAGGCTTCTCCCAGCAATAGGTATGTGGGAGGGACCCCGAGTTTGCTGACTCAAGGGGAATATACAGCGAGAAGCCCTAACTTGAAAGGAGGCCGGATTTCCTTGCAGTGGCTTGAATACAGGCTCGTCTTTCATCTCACAACATGAAGGGATGTCTGAATCCCCTGTGGAGACCTTAGAGAAAGCCCTAGGTCCCTGCCTCATTTTGACGGAATGCCTCTCATCTCGCGGACACCTCGAGAGGCACGCGGAGTTCATTGCTTCAAAAGGTGACGATGCCTGACTCCTCTTGAATACTGATAGGAATCCCGAAATCCCTGTGGCTGCGGGAAAGGGTCCTTGGGTGCCCTGCCTCACCTCGAGAAGCGTCCCTTTTGCCCTGCCAAGCCTCGAAGAGATTCCTGAGGTGTTCCTCGTTGCTAGACAGGAGTCCTGACGTCACTGAAGAAACTCGTGTTTTGAAGGGCCATCCCCGCCGTAAGTCGAGAACATACCCCAGGTCCCCGCCGCAACTCGAGAAAAACCATGAGATTTCCCCCTAGAGGTGAGATGAGGCCCCATTCCCCTTCAGTGCATGCAGAGCTATTCCGTGATCCCATTCAAACAAGTCAGGAGCTTCGACTTGCTTAATGGATCTCGAGACAGTCCATAAGAACACTGTCACCAGTCTAGACGGACCCTGAGGTCGCCCCAGCAACGCAAAGCAGCTCCATGTGCCCCAAATCAACTCGAGATGAGGCCCGATTCCCCTTCATTGACTCCAGAGACATTCCCCGTTCCCCATTCAACACGACCGGTGGCTCGACTTCCTTCAGGCAACTCCAGAGATGCCCCGAGAACACTGTCCCAAGTCTAGAGGAACACCAACTTCAGCACAGCAACTCGAGGAATGCTCCGTGTAACCCAAATCGTCTCGAGATGAGAGCTGATTCCCTGGCTTAGGCTCAAGACGTATGCCAACTTTCCAGAAGCACCTCAGGAGGAGGCTTCTCTCAGCAATAGTTATGTGGGAGGGACCCCGAGTTTGCTGCCTCAAGGGGAATATACAGCGAGAAGCCCTAACTTGAAAGGAGGCCGGATTTCCTTGCAGTGGCTTGAATACAGGCTCGTCTTTCATCTCACAACATGAAGGGATGTCTGAATCCCCTGTGGAGACCTTAGAGAAAGCCCTAGGTCCCTGCCTCATTTTGACGGAATGCCTCACGTCCCGCTGACACCTCGAGAGGCACGCGGAGTTCATTGCTTCAAAAGGTGACGATGCCTGACTCCTCTTGAATACTGATAGGAATCCCAAAATCCCTGTGGCTACGGGAAAGGGTCCTTGGGTGCCCTGCCTCACCTCGAGAAGCGTCCCTTTTGCCCTGCCAAGCCTCGAAGAGATTCCTGAGGTGTCTCTCGTTACTAGACACGAGTCCTGACGTCACTGAAGAAACTCGTGTTTTGAAGGGCCATCCCCGCCGTAAGTCGAGAACATACCCCAAGTCCACACCGCAACTCGAGAAAAACCATGAGACTTCCCCCTAGAGGCGAGATGAGGCCCCATTCCCCTGCAGTGAATGCAGAGCTATTCCGTGATCCCATTCAAACAAATCAGGAGCTTCGACTTGCTTAATGGATCTCGAGACAGTCCCCAAGAACACTGTCACCAGTCTCGACGGACCCTGAGGTCACCCCAGCAACGCAAAGCAGCTCCATGTGCCCCAAATCAACTCGAGATGAGGCCCGATTCCCCTGCATTGACTCCAGAGCCATTCCCCGTTCCCCATTCAACACGACCGGTGGCTCGACTTCCTTCAGGCAACTCCAGAGATGCCCCGAGAACACTGTCCCAAGTCTAGAGGAACACCAACTTCAGCACAGCAACTCGAGGAATGCTCCGTGTAACCCAAATCATCTCGAGATGAGAGCTGATTCCCTGGCTTAGGCTCAAGACCTATGCCAACTTTCCAGAAGCACCTCAGGAGGAGGCTTCTCTCACCAATAGTTATGTGGGAGGGACCCCGAGTTTGCTGCCTCAAGGGGAATTTACAGCGAGAAGCCCTAACTTGAAAGGAGGCCGGATTTCCTTGCAGTGGCTTGAATACAGGCTCGTCTTTCATCTCACAACATGAAGGGATGTCTGAATCCCCTGTGGAGACCTTAGAGAAAGCCCTAGGTCCCTGCCTCATTTTGACGGAATGCCTCTCATCTCGCTGACACCTCGAGAGGCACGCGGAGTTCATTGCTTCAAAAGGTGACGATGCCTGACTCCTCTTGAATACTGATAGGAATCCCGAAATCCCTGTGGCTGCGGGAAAGGGTCCTTGGGTGCCCTGCCTCACCTCGAGAAGCGTCCCTTTTGCCCTGCCAAGCCTCGAAGAGATTCCTGAGGTGTCCCTCGTTGCTAGACAGGAGTCCTGACGTCACTGAAGAAACTCGTGTTTTGAAGGGCCATCCCCGCCGTAAGTCGAGAACATACCCCAGGTCCCCGCCGCAACTCGAGAAAAACCATGAGATTTCCCCCTAGAGGTGAGATGAGGCCCCATTCCCCTTCAGTGCATGCAGAGCTATTCCGTGATCCCATTCAAACAAGTCAGGAGCTTCGACTTGCTTAATGGATCTCGAGACAGTCCATAAGAACACTGTCACCAGTCTAGACGGACCCTGAGGTCACCCCAGCAACGCAAAGCAGCTCCATGTGCCCCAAATCAACTCGAGATGAGGCCCGATTCCCCTTCATTGACTCCAGAGACATTCCCCGTTCCCCATTCAACACGACCGGTGGCTCGACTTCCTTCAGGCAACTCCAGAGATGCCCCGAGAACACTGTCCCAAGTCTAGAGGAACACCAACTTCAGCACAGCAACTCGAGGAATGCTCCGTGTAACCCAAATCGTCTCGAGATGAGAGCTGATTCCCTGGATTAGGCTCAAGACGTATGCCAACTTTCCAGAAGCACCTCAGGAGGAGGCTTCTCTCAGCAATAAGTATGTGGGAGGGACCCTAGTTTGTGCCTCAAGGGCAATATACAGCGAGAAGCCCTAACTTGAAAGGAGGCCGGATTTCCTTGCAGTGGCTTGAATACAGGTTCGTCTTTCATCTCACCACATGAAGGGATGTCTGAATCCCCTGTGGAGACCTTAGAGAAAGCCCTAGGTCCCTGCCTCATTTTGACGGAATGCCTCACATCCCGTTAACACCTCGAGAGGCACGCGGAGTTCATTGCTTCAAAAGGTGACGATGCCTGACTCCTCTTGAATACTGATAGGAATCCCAAAATCCCTGTGGCTAGGGGAAAGGGTCCTTGGGTGCCCTGCCTCACCTCGAGAAGCGTCCCTTTTGCCCTGCCAAGCCTCTTAGAGATTCCTGAGGTGTCCCTCGTTACTAGACAGGAGTCCTGACGTCACTGAAGAAACTCGTGTTTTGAAGGGCCATCCCCGCCGTAAGTCGAGAACATACCCCAGGTCCCCGCCACAACTCGAGAAAAACCATAAGACTTCCCCCTAGAGGCGAGATGAGGCCCCATTCCCCTGCAGTGCATGCAGAGCTATTCTGTGATCCCATTCAAACAAGTCAGGAGTTTCGACTTGCTTAATGGATCTCGAGACAGTCCCCAAGAACACTGTCACCAGTCTAGACGGACCCTGAGGTCACCCCAGCAACGCAAAGCAGCTCCATGTGCCCCAAATCAACTCGAGATGAGGCCCGATTCCCCTGCATTGACTCCAGTGCCATTCCCCGTTCCCCATTCAACACGACCGGTGGCTCGACTTCCTTCAGGCAACTCCAGAGATGCCCCGAGAACACTGTCCCAAGTCTAGAGGAACACCAACTTCAGCACAGCAACTCGAGGAATGCTCCGTGTAACCCAAATCATCTCGCGATGAGAGCTGATTCCCTGGCTTAGGCTCAAGACGTATGCCAACTTTCCAGAAGCACCTCAGGAGGAGGTTTCTCTCACCAATAGTTATGTGGGAGGGACCCCGAGTTTGCTGCCTCAAGGGGAATTTACAGCAAGAAGCCCTAACTTGAAAGGAGGCCGGATTTCCTTGCAGTGGCTTGAATACAGGCTCGTCTTTCATCTCACAACATGAAGGGATGTCTGAATCCCCTGTGGAGACCTTAGAGAAAGCCCTAGGTCCCTGCCTCATTTTGACGGAATGCCTCACATCTCGCTGACACCTCGAGAGGCACGCGGAGTTCATTGCTTCAAAAGGTGACGATGCCTGACTCCTCTTGAATACTGATAGGAATCCCGAAATCCCTGTGGCTACGGGAAAGGGTCCTTGGGTGCCCTGCCTCACCTCGAGAAGCGTCCCTTTTGCCTTGCCAAGCCTCGAAGAGATTCCTGAGGTGTCCCTCGTTACTAGACAGGAGTCCTGACGTCACTGAGGAAACTCGTGTTTTGAAGGGCCATCCCCGCCGTAAATCGAGAACATACCCCAGGTCCCCGCCGCAACTCGAGAAAAACCATGAGACTTCCCCCTAGAGGCGAGATGAGGTCCCATTCCCCTGCAGTGCATGCAGAGCTATTCCGTGATCCCATTCCAACAAGTCAGGAGCTTCGACTTGCTTAATGGATCTCGAGACAGTCCCCAAGAACACTGTCACCAGTCTAGACGGACCCTGAGGTCACCCCAGCAAAGCAAAGCAGCTCCATGTGCCCCAAATCAACTCGAGATGAGGTCCCATTCGCCTGCATTGACGCCAGAGCCATTCCCCGTTCCCCATTCAACACGACCGGTGGCTCGACTTCCTTCAGGCAACTCCAGAGATGCCCCGAGAACACTGTCCCAAGTCTAGAGGAACACCAACTTCAGCACAGCAACTCGAGGAATGCTCCGTGTAACCCAAATCGTCTCGAGATGAGAGCTGATTCCCTGGCTTAGGCTCAAGACGTATGCCAACTTTCCAGAAGCACCTCAGGAGGAGGCTTCTCTCAGCAATAGTTATGTGGGAGGGACCCCGAGTTTGCTGCCTCAAGGGGAATATACAGCGAGAAGCCCTAACTTGAAAGGAGGCCGGATTTCCTTGCAGTGGC